GCAGTCACTAGTTGAGTGCGTGCAGCGTTTGTCAAATTGCCAGCAGAGCTGTTGAGAGTTTTCCAGTTGCACCAGTCGCAATCACCGGGTCCCGTCCCGGCTGCAATCTCGGCACATCCCATAGCATCCCATCCATATCCCAACAGTAGTTGACAAAAGTCATCCAACCAGGGAACGTCACCGACAAACCAACAGCAAGAACAACAGCAGCAACAGCAATCACAACCGCAACATTTGTAATGGAAAGTCCTGCATTGAAATCTCGTTTCGTTTCGTTTAGCCTCAGCGTTTCTCTTTCTGTCTTTTGCTATACCCTTGCAGAGGGTATCAATCCTTATAAGCGAAACCGGATTCGAACAGTCAAGCACGCGACATGTACTTTGTTTTTGATTTCTCTTTTGCAGCATTCGCTTTTGCGTCTGGCTGGCGTGGGTTATCGAAGAATAAGCTCGGAGGAATGGGAACAGTTGGAAGTATACACCTCTGGCTTATAGAATCCGTGTACTTCGGGTCAACGGTTATATATTCTCTTAATAATACAAATCGAGTTAATCGATTGTCTGAATATTATTGTATTAGAAATATGCATTGTATATTTATTTGCGCACCTTTTAGGGTATCACGAACTTCAAATCCTTGAAGGTTTCATTTTTGTTGGTTTCATTTTTGCGGTTCGGTTTTGTTTTTGGGTTTTCCAGCTGTTGGCTGCAAGTGGCATTGTTATTGCTGCTGTAACTGTTGCGGTTCCGTCATCATGCCCGGCCCGAGCCACAGCAACAGCCCCACACCCATCCCCATCCCCAGCCCCATCATCGTGACAAGTCAATGAACCAGCTAAGTTTTGGGGCTTAACCGACAAAAAGCCCTTCAGCTCCATTGGCCACTTGACCAGCAGTGGGGTGAAGCCTTTGCAGTGGGATGGGTGGTGTGGTGTTTTAGGCCATTCTATTTGATGATCGATCGATGGTTATGATGATATTTATTCCCCTCCCCCGTTGCCAAAGCCAAAGTATTACCATGTCACCTAATGGCCGTCCGATGCTAATGGGCATGGGTGGGGGACATCGATTCGACGGATGCCAATCCGCTTATCAGCTGGAAATGTGTGTTTCGCACACACGATTAGCATATTTAATGTTTGGAAATTGCAAATTAGCAAATCCCAGCCGGCACCCGGCACCGAATTGAGTTACAAGCCCATTCTACTTCGTCTGTGACCCCTGCGTGAACCCCCAGCCGCCAGAGGGTCGAGAAATCTCCACGATGTTCGTGTCTAGTCTGATGTTTATCTTTAGAGCGCGAGACTAACTTAATTCGCTGCGACACGGCACGCAAAGGAATAAAACTATTTTACACCGACTTGATTTAGTACGAGCACTAGTATATTCTTAGCAACAGTCAATAAAGAAATAACAAAGAGTCGGAGCACTAATAGCGTGCGAAAAGCAACAAGAAGGGGGGGCTCGGCTGTGGCCGATAATCCGACTATGGGATAGCCGCCAATCAGATTGATTTGTGGTACGCTAATGGGGATTTCAAGGCGTGAAAACTGTTCCAGCCAAGACCGAGAAAAGACCGAGGATGGAGAAGATAGCTGGGGAATGTTTGGCCACCAATAAAAATTACCGAGAAAAACGCTTCCCCAATCTCCCATAGCCAATATACCCTTGTACTTTACAAGTAACGGGTATGACGTACATAACAAACAGCAACTACAGAAGAGACCCAACTAAGTCGAGATTAGACACAGAAATTGGGTTCAAGAGCAAACAGCACTAGAAAGCAATGGAGATTTAGAGGGGAACAGAGGTACAAGGGCTAGATAGATGGACTGTGACCAAAAACAATGTGTGCGCAAAATGCGTACTCAATAGAAAGCATGGAGAGACAACAGAAAGAGGGAGGCAAAAAACAAACACCGCAGCACACAGACACAACGAAAAAATCAATCTAAATTGAATTATACAACACCAACAACAGACAAACATACTCGTACATACGCAGACAACAGAGAACAGAGAATTGCATGGCACATTTACAGCAACAGCAACAGCAACAACACAACAACAAGATGAGCCAAAAGAAACGAAACGGGTTTTCGTGAGACGGAGATGAAAAGATTCTCAATGAATGGGAAATCAAGTAAGCGCAAGCAGAGGCTAAATAAAGATGAGATGCATAAATTAGACTCCTCTCTCTTTCTCCACCTTTGGGGTCTCTGTTGCAATTTTGTAACAATTTGTAAAGGAGCCGCTGTGGGGAGTGGTTGGGGGAGGCAGACATGTCTGCTCTTTTAGCCTGTGCTTTTGTATTTGTGTTCTATTTTTTTTTACAGATAAAATTGAATACAAATTCTGAAGCAGAGGTAGACGACGGGCACGCTTGATCGAGAGTCTCAGGTGCGCTTTTGCTCAAATGATTTGATTATTTAGGAAATTTAACCAGAACGAAAGAAATATTCTATTGAAGGGACACAGAATCCGGTTTCGGAAGAAAATAAGCAGAGATGCTGACTGAAGCGGGGGTTGGTTTTCTATTGATTCTTACAAGTTCAATGTCTTTCATCTTTCACAACTGCTATCTGTTCAGGATTTCATCTCTTACCTTTTGAAATCCGTCAATACTTGTTAACAGCACCAACACACACATGTGCTTACACCCACACACAGGTCTAAATGCAGGTCCCGTAAATCCTTATACAGACACATACACCCGCACTAACAAACCAACACACGCGCTTCTTTTTTTCTTTTTCAAGGCGCAATGGTTAAATTAATTTTACAATTTTTATTATTTTTGTTTATTTATTTTTGTTGTTTTATATTTTAAGAAGAACGATGCGAATTTATTTTCGAAGTTAGACGCGGCAGCACACCCGCTGTTGGTTCAAATGTGTTGTTAACTGTTGTGTACAACAGTGCTGCCAGATTTTTAGAGTCACCATAAGCTAGATTGCTGAAAAAAATAAGCTAGAAAAAGCTAAAAACTAAAATAGCTTAAAAATAAACTAACCATAAAAACACATCAAAATAATGGAAACTTTAATTGTTACTAATGACATGATTACCGCAGCCTCCTGTATCTCTGTTTTGAGGACTTTTTAACAAAAGGTATTTTGTGCATGCTGCCGTAATTCCCACGACTTAGTTTCTTCTTGATTCTTGATTTTTGTCAGATTTTTCGCTAAAAATTAACATATATTACAATTACAAAAATAAAAAAACAGAAATTGTTTTGTACTTAATTATGTTTAGCCCAAATAAACTAACTTTTAAATAAGCTAGATTTCAAGCTATAGGCATTTTAATTGGCTTTCAACCTATTTGATTTTAAAATAATCCAAATCTAGCTTAAAATAAGCTAAAATGGAAACACTGGTGTACAAGCGCGATGAAGAAACTAACTTAGCCCACTAAAGCCCCCTCTATTTAAGCAGAATAGGAAGGCGATCGAAACCACGGAATATGAAACTGTGCATTCTTATTATTATCCACAAAAAAATCTTTTTACTAACCAAAAATCACCCCGATGTCTTTCATCTGAACTGCGCCCAAGTTCTTTAAGATTCATAATATTTGTGAAGTGCATTGTAATACCCACTGGTCTACAATGGGTTAATCGGGATTTCGATTCTGATCGAATTTGATATTCTATTTAATATTACTAGTATTTACTATATTATCACCAATAATAAGTTTATTCGATTAGCGAATTGATTTTCCACTTAACTGGTCTATTTGAAATACTTTTTTTTATTGGAACTTGTATAAAAAAAGGTTTTCACGAAAAAGTCAAACGAAAACCCGTGAGAGAGTAATCCTTCCTATTGCTCAATTTTGATATTCCATTGAATAATTCTGGCTCACTAAGACCCTTAGCTCTGCCCCATCATCTCCCAGTCTTATCATATTGATAAATACATTTTCTACAAGATTGGTTAGTTTTAAGTCCTTGCTTTGTTTTCCTTTTTTTAAAAAAATGTTTAGACAAAAAAGTCAAAACTCGGAATGAAACGTGTGTATGCAATTTTACGTTATGGTTGCTTGTCAACAGGTTTCTGTTATGCGTATGGGTCATTTGTATACCCTATTTATTTTAATAATGTTAAAATTCCAAGCTGCTTTAAAAATTAACTTATAATGATGGAAATGTTTTTGACCTATGCATATATACAGATGCGTGTTTTGCGGATACCTATTCTAGGTCTCTGTAAGAAGATCGCTAAAATAGCTTGAAAACAGAGACTGACTAGTTTCTGCCTATATTGGAGCCAGATGACAAACATTTCCTCGATTGTATTATATCCTTTTCTATATGGTGCAGATGCAGGGGGATGTTGTGGGAAATACAAAAAATTCCTCGTCCTCATAGCATATCATATGTAGAGACAGGGCTAGGTAAGGTTCGTACGAGCCTTGCAATTTCCGTTGGCTGTATTTGCCTGTTGTCCATACCTTTCCATAGCCCAGCGGTTCGAGTCGATGTTCGAGTTCGCTTGGCCGGTTCGATCAAACCAAAGAGGGCGTTTAATAAAATGAAACGTAAGATATCGACAGACAAACATCGATATCTACCCAAAGAAACGCATCGAAGTTCAGGTAGTGTAATATGCACGTAACGGCAAGGAAAAATTCGAAAAATGAAGCTGTCATAGCTTATGATAGCAAAGTCCAATTAAACTGAGAAATACCTACAAAAAAAACCCATGAGCACTCCCAGTTGATAATCAGCAAGCTCAATGTTACACCCATGCTTAAGCGGAAGTTCATTGCCGTCCCCGCTTTAAAAAATAATAGAATCACCGAATCTCAGAGATATCAGAGGAAAAAAACCCATGGATGCCCCTGCGCAGCAATTGACAAGGGTTAATTACAGATACAGCTTCTACAGAAATCATGTACACCCCGGAGATAACGACGACAATTGATAAAGACAGAAGCAGCAAATATATCGACTCATTGGCTCGCTATAATGTTTAGTTTTCAAGAGTCAGCAGCGCCATGCAGAAGCTTCTTCCACTCCTCGTCGTCGGGACTCTTTTAGCCGTCTCCAACGTCGATGCGGCTGCCCAGAGGTTGCCGGATAGCCGCATTGTTAATGGGCGAGAGGCCGCAGAGGGGGAGTTCCCCTATCAGCTCTCACTGCGGCGCCACACCATCCACATCTGTGGTGCCTCCATCCTCGCCAGCAACTGGGCTATAACAGCGGCCCACTGCATCGACAACCACGAGACGAGTCCCCGCGAGTTCACCCTGCGCCAGGGCACTGTCCTGCGCACCACAGGCGGTTCCATCCAGCCCGTGCAGACCATCTACAAGCATCCCGCGTACGATCGAACGGACATGAATTTCGATGTGGCTCTGCTGCGGACTGCCGTCGGAGCTCTTTCCACGACGCCCATCCGCCTGCCAGCTGTGGGCGAGGCTATCCCGGAGGGCATGTCCGCCGTCGTCTCTGGCTGGGGACACATGGATATCATTAATCCCGTCCTGGCGCCGGTCCTCATGAGCACCACTGTGCAGACCGTTAATCAGGAAAAGTGTGACAGCGCCTTGAAAAATCACGGCGGCGTCACTGATGCGTAAGTGTACAGAGAGCAGAGATAGGGAGAGAGATTTGGCACTTGGAATCTCTAATTAATGTCCAACCATCTTGTCTAGAATGTTCTGTGCGGCCGCAAGAAACACGGACGCCTGTCAAGGCGACAGCGGAGGTCCCATCAGTGCCGAAGGCACTCTGATTGGCATCGTTTCCTGGGGGGTCAGCTGTGCGGATCCCTATTATCCAGGCGTGTACACTCGTCTGGCCCACCCCACTGTACGCCGTTGGATACGTCTGCTCACCAAATTGTAAATCTCCATCAATAAAGGAAATATACGGGATAACATGCGTGATAGCCTATTTTGAATGTGCGCGCTAACCTCATCGATAGTTCCTGTCTGGTCAAGCAGCTTAAATATTGTAAACTAATGAATTAAACCTCCGCAACCACACCACAACCATATTCATGATTTATCTCAAAAACCAAATTAAGGTTCCAGATACCGGGAGAGCATCCGGGATCGATGACGACGAAGCCAAGCCCCGAGAGGGAAACCAACAAACGCTTCTGTTTGGGGAAACCAGTTGAAAGTATTGGCGATCTGAGGCCAGTCGATGGTGTCCCCAGGCTGGACTACTCTTACAGACTCATGGAGCAGATCTCACAGTTCTGGGTGGGTATAATGAGCAAAGACAAAGCTTGGCACAAAAAGCTAAGCAACTTCTAGGTGCGTCATCAGGTCAGGCAATGTTTTGTGCCGAGGGTTTATTTAATTTAAGTTTTAATAAGCTTTTAAATAATTTAGTTTTAATCAATTTAAACCGACTAATAGAATCAAAAGCCATGCCCCCCCGAGAAGAAGATTGGTTGCGGAGGTTCAATTACGCTCCAAGAAGTGTGGTTGCGGAGGTTCAATAACGTTCCAAGAAGTGTGGTTGCGGAGGTTCAATAACGCTCCAAGAAGTGTGGTTGCGGAGGTTCGATTACGCTCCAAGAAGTGTGGTTGCGGAGGTTCAATAACGTTCCAAGAAGTGTGGTTGCGGAGGTTCAATAACGCTCCAAGAAGTGTGGTTGCGGAGGTTCAATTACGCTCCAAGAAGTGTGGTTGCGGAGGTTCGATTACGCTCCAAGAAGTGTGGTTGCGGAGGTTAAAGGAGAGGAATTCGAATTCTGGCGGGCCGGTTATGGCTTTCTCGTAGCTGCTTTATATACAAAATTCAGCGGGTAATGTGGCCGTTGGAGTGCGCTGCGGGCACACTGGGTACCAGTGCTGCCAGATTTTGAGAGTCAGCATAAGCTAGATTGAAGAAAAAATAAGCTGGAATAAGCTAAATATTAAAAAAAAGCTTAAAAATAATCTAACATTAAAAACCCATGAAAATAATGGACATATAATTCAATTTTTAAAGAAAGTAATAACATGATTTTATCCACTTCATTATGAGCCTTTTGCTCCTCTGTTTTTGAGGACTTTCTAACAAGAGGTATTTTGTTAGTTTGTGTCATGCTAGCAATGGACGCATATGTTTTATAGCGACAGCATACTGCCGTAATTCCCACGACTTGGCCCCAATTGTTGACTTACAAAAGCAGCAGTACGCTATTACCATACATATATACACAAAATTGGATGATATACCAAAATACGAACAAGATATATGATTTTTGTCCGATTTCTCGCTAAAAATTAACAAATATAACAATACAATCAAATAGCAAAAATTGTTTTGTACCAAATTTTTTGAAGCCAAAATAAGCTAAATGAAATTTTAAATAAGATAGATATTTTTCAAGCTATTTTGTTTTAAAATAAGCCAAATCTAGCTTAAAATAAGCTGAAATGGCAACACTGACTGTATATTTTAGCGAAAAGTCTGCGGTCACACTGATTTACTCGTTTTGTGCGAGATTTTAGTTTTTTTGAACGGTTATTTTAGGCCCTGCCCGTTACAAAAACAATTTTGAACCGAACCTAAATCGAGGGCTAGACTTTAACCAAGTTCTGAGTCAACAGTGGGGCGGTGGCAGTGATATATTCTAGGAAAAACAGCCGTGGGAGTGGCAACGGCATCAGCGGGTGGAACAGAGCAGAGCGGGTGGTGTGGTGGTGGCGGCACGCATTCTATTTAGGGTGAGTGCGGTGCATTTACACAAGACACAAGAAAGCAACGAAACTAACAAATACTAGAGGTAAAAATAGACCCTAAACAGACACTTAAGTGCAATCTTTCAACAGTTCCCTCTGCTGAATGTACTGGCGCTGGTTGTGGCTCTGCATTAAGATGATCTACCAGCTGCTGTGCTGCTCGGTGAGCATGATCTTCTTCTGCTTCAACGTGTTTTGGCTGTTCTGCAACCTGGCCATACCCTGGTGCACCCTGAGCCTCGTCGTCGTCTGTGTGGCCTCCAAGTTCGTGAAGCTGCAGCGCAGTCCCAACGAGAAGCGGCTCCTCAGCCTGCTGAGCGCGCCGGATGATTGGCCGAGCTACTGGCCCATCGCTAATCGGGCGGCCGGCTACGATGCGCCCGAGAACTCGAAGGCAGCAATCAAAAAGGTGACGTCATGAGGCGGTGGTTGCTTCGGCCCTTACCCCAGCAAAAATCAATAACATCCCTCATTTTCAGTGCCTAACACGTGGATATCGGAACGTGCTTCTCGATGCCGGTCTCACATCCTGCGGGGAAATTGTTATAGCTAACCCCAGTCGCCTGGCTGTGGCTCAGCAGCCGTTGAGCGAGCTGCAAAAACTCAACATCACGGAGCAGCATCCTATGGGGTGAGACATGAGCCTGAGGCAAATCAAGTGGAACTTCATTAAACTCAAATGTCAATACACAGGTCCCACTTCGAGGCAGAGTCAGTGACCACGCTAAGGCAGCTCTCCGACTATGTGGAGGCGGAGGCTACCTCGGCCACGCTCTTCCTGCGCCTGCACGACAACAGTGCCCGCATGCTTGACCAGCTGCAGAAGTTTATGGCCGCCAATGAGGCGTTTACGCAGCGAACAATTGTTATTAGTCGCTCGCCGCTTGCCATTTATCAGGTATGCATAGAGGAGGATGCTTCTATGGGAATGCTTTTGATGCCTGTTATTCTTTTCAGCTGCGCAAACTGCGTCCGGAGATCATTTGTGGCCTGTGGCATGAGACCTATCTATCGCTGGCCATACTCAAATCCTCCACACTGATTACCTCAATCTATGGTGCAATCTTTCGCAATATCATTGCCCCCGTGATCGGCATAAGCGTCGTTTTTCTCAGCAAAGAAGAGTTCAATTTGTAAGCCATTCATTGGTATTCTCTTTTTGGACTACTCTTTAATGTTTAATTGGCTTTTGGCAGGCACATTGCCGACCTGTGGCGCAATGTTGGCGTCCGTCCAATCGTCTACATGGTGAACTCGCCCAACGAGAAGCGCTATTTTCAGAAGACCATGAAGATCCAATATTTGACCGACTCGCTGCGCTCCGAGCCGCATCTACTGATGAAGGCCTAAGGTGTTCCACTCACCAGCGAGGAAGTCAACGAACACAACTCAGACAACTCAGACAGGAGCGCACATACAGAGAAACTGTTTGCATTTAGCTGCGCCACACTTAATTCTTAAGAGTAATTCGTTTTTAGTGCCCACGTTCACTCCCCTCCCCCACACTCGATATGTGTTTATAAAATGCGTTTTTAGTACGTGTTCCGTATCTGTAGAAGCTTTTGAAAGTATTACCCGTTGTGCACCAGTACCACTAGCTGTACCAGTGAGATTGAAGCTGTATATTTATGTCTGAATAGGTTTTGTGCTTTATTTATTGTCCGCTACAGGATGCTTTTTATATTTTATTTTTTATATTGACGTCCTGTTTGTTTATTTTTATATATGTTTTCTATTTAATTATGTCTATATTTTCATATACCCTGCCTGATATGTTCTGTTCTCAAATTTTGTACGATATTTCTACACATGTACTATACTCGCATGTACACAAATGTATACCCCATAAGGTAGTATATTGCTTTTTTGATGTGCTCTATATATGTATGTAGTATATACAAACATACACGCGCAGCTTTTCTAGAATGCCGAACATTTGGCCATTTTTCACGAATGTTCCCATTGTTATGCAGATCCCAAAAGAATAACTTGTCTAAGACCAAGTCCCGACAACAAATACAATTAAGTTTCTTACGTCTAATCCGAGAAGAGCAAACGATTTGTGTTCCAACGAGCATTATCTATACGACTATACCAAAAAAAACAATGATGAAAATTTCATTTTATTACGACACGATGATCCGATGAGTAAATAAAGATAGTGGAAAAGATTGATATAAACTCAAAAATCAAGTCTAAGCGTTTTCTTATAGATGCATCTGCTCAGCTTGTCAGCATTTGTATTATCAGTCGGTAAAAGGTTTAGATAAATGACGCATATAAGGGTTTTCTTCCGTTTTAATAAATTGTATATTGCTGAGCGAGAGAAGCTGCCTGTACGGTGTTCGAGGTATCCGGTGTGATGGCAATGGTATAAATTCTTCAAAATGATCCTAACATGACTTACCAGACGGTCGATTCCCTCATCGAAAATGTGGATCATAAGTTAATTAAATGACATCCACTCATCCAATATTGCATCCATCTAAACCAGACTCCTGAAACTGGTTGTTATATAATCATTCTCTATGATTCTGCGTTTGCGGTTTCTCGTAGTTTCAAAATTGTGGATGCCACAGATTTTCGTACTTTGTGTGGGCGAAATAAACTTGTAACAGTGTGATATCACAGGAGTGTAAATACAAAATTTGGTTGTTTTGGTTTTTTAGTCTCTGAGATCTAGACGGACGCATGGATGGACAGACCAGACATGGCTACATCGACCCGGCTATTGATGTTGATCGAGAATATATATACTTTATGGGATCGGAAACGCTTCCTTCTGGGTCTACACCCATTCACTTCCACCACAAACCTAATATACTCCTATACTCTTTGAGAATCGATCCGAAGGATGCATATGGTCAACTTTAAAAGTTCATAGGTATCTTTTAAACTTATCCGATTTGTTCAGTTTCGATTTTCCCGCCTCATTTCGGCTGGTCCTGGTGAACGCGTCCATTAATTGTAGATTGGAACAAAGTTTTGTTTAATTTTTCTTTATTATTTGGGGGGATGTCTTACATTATATATGTATATGTATGTATATCTGTATATATGGTATGCCTAGGTCTATTAAGGTCTTACATTTCTGAGCGAGGGAATGTGAACCTTTTGCGGGGCTGACAGGAGAGGATTGTATGCACGTAGTACTAATGATAGAGCTTAGAAATAGCCATGCATAGATGTAATTTTATTTTATACAGAAGTTCGTAAAATGTGTGAAAGCTTAAAAACAATTGTACGATAGAGAATATTTATATATGTATAAACAATGGGGCAAATGCAAGATGCAAATGAAGTTCCTTATTTGCGGCGGGAGCGTGTCGCTCTCTTGGGCGCCTCGTCGTTGCTGGTGGCGGAATCTGCCACTGGGAGAGTGGCCTCGAAGTGCACCTTCTTGGCACGGCCGCTGCGTGCCGTCGAGGCTGAGGGGGCAGCGGCTTCCGCCGACGGAACGGGCTGCATTGCCTCTGGCTCGACAATTGGGACTGCCTTGGCAGCTCGTCCGCGTCCACGGGCGGCTGGTTTTTTGGCGGACACAGCCACCACGGGCTGCTCTGCAGACTCCTCGTCAGAAATGATCACCGCTGGTGTCTTAGCACGGGCTCCGCCACGTGCTTTCTTGGTGGCCGGCTGGTCCTCTGAATCTGGCTCAGTCTCGACCTTGGCTTTGCGTGCGTTGCCTGCTCGTGCCGCATGCTTGGTGGGCGCTGCAGAATCTGCTTCAGCCTCATCCTCGGCCTTGCGCCGGGTGCCACGTCCTTTGACTGCGGCGACCGTTGCTACCTCTGTTTCCTCGGCCACCTTCTTCGCTGCAGGCGCTTCCTCGTGCGGCTCCTCAGTGCCGGCCTTTCCCCTGCGTCGCCTGGGCGTGGCTGGTCTGGGCGTGGTGTCCACAATCAGCTCCAGGGCCTTGACCGTCGGATTCCTTTGGCGCCGGCTGCGGGACGGGGTCGGCTTGTCATCGTCGGGGGCTTCTGTGTAGTTCTTGCGCGGCAGATTTCGTCCCTCACGTCTCTGCGAAGTTGTGGGGTCCGGCAAGGTCACCGTGGCCATCTCTGGAGTGGCTGGGGTAGCTCTGACTGCCTCTTCGATCGGTGGCCCCTTCTGAGAGGGTGTTGGCGTGGTGGGATGCACCTCCATCTCGAGCGTCTTGGCAGCTGCTGCCTTGCCGCTGGTCACCGGCTTTCGGTTACGCCGTGATCCAGAGCTGGGCTTGTCATCGTCGGGAACTTCTGTGTAGTTCTTCCGTGGAAGATTGCGTCCCTCGCGTCGACGCGGCGTCAGTTCATCCTCGGTGTGGGAGGGCGAGGGGTATACCCCATCGTTGGGCTTCTCTGCGGAGGCCAAAGTGGTGGCAGTAACGGTGGCTGACAACTCTGTGGTCACATCCTGCACATTTTTCTGTGCATCGATACCTTCAGCTTGGGCGGAAGCTTTGCGTCCTCTTCGTGCCGTTGTCTTTTTGGCTTGGGGTGTCCCCTCGTCGACACTCGTCGATGGCTTCCGGAGAGCTCGCGTTGGCTGCTTCTTCTCTGCTGTATCCACATCCACGCTTGGTTTGCGACCGCGTCGCGTTGGCTTTACCGTTGATGCTTCCTGGATCTCGGGAAGAGGAGTCTCCAGTGGTGGGCCCTCTCCGCTGTGACGCTTTGATTTGGGCTCCACCTGGTCGGCCGTGCCCTCCTCCACGGTCGCCTTGCGTCCGCGCCGCCGAGAGCTGGCAGCCTCGACATGCTCCACTGGGACATCCGTCGTCTCGGCTGTGGCTTTGCGTCCGCGTCGCCGTGCCTTGGGCTCCTCCTCGTCCAGCAGCAGCTTCTTTGGCTCTGGCTCTCGCTCGATTTCCTCAGCGATCTCCTCCAGATGATGGTCCACGGGCTTCATTAAGGCTGATTCTTTCTCTGGTGTTGGATCTGCTTTCTGTCCTCGGCGCCTGGGATGCTCGGGCACCTCCGGAGCTGCCACCTCCACATCCATGGAAGGTTTGCGTCCACGTCGCTTGGGTCTATCTGCCTGGGCATCTGGCTGGCCCTCTTTAGCCGGCTGCTGACTGGCCTCCTCGGTTTTTACAAGCTCTGAGGACTTGCGGGCTCGTTTCAGGGTCTTCTTTGGTTCATCCAGAGCTGGTGGATCTTCTATGATGGCTGCCAGATGCTCCTGGGTTTTGGGGATGTGTGGATCATCCTTTGTGGCCTCCTTCTCTGCTGTTGGAGCTCGTCTGTTTCGCTTTGATGTCTCAGGCATAACCTCCATATGCTCCTCCTGGACCACTTCGGGTGTTTTGCGAACTCGTTTTGGGAGCTTCTTTGGCGCGGAGTCCACTGTTTGATCTACTTTGACGGCTGCCAGGAGGTTCTGGGCTTTGGCCTTCCGTGCTTGATCCTTCTCCGCTGATGGAGGACGTCCGCGTCCACGCTTTGTTGTCGAAGGGAGCAGCTCCTTGGATTCCTCCTGGTTTCGCTTTGGTGGATCCATTTGTTTAACATGTTCGGAAGGCATGTTGTCCTCTGTGATGGGATTCAGAATCTCCTCCGTCTTCGGCTGTGCTTCGTTGTCCTTTGCCTCCTCTGATGATTGCTTGGACGGCTTTCGTCCCCGTCTCGTGTTCGTGATGACTTCCTTTTCCTCGAGGATTGGCTGTACCTCGGCGGACGGTTTGCGGCCCCGCCGCCTTGGCCTCTCCAATTCGCTGGCCTCTGCAGTTCTCTCCACGGACGAGCCCTTTCTGGCTCTTTTGGCGGCTGGCTGAATCTCCTTAGCGGGCGGCTGCCCGTCATTGCGTGCCAGTCTTGTTACCTTCCTCGCCTCCTGCTTGACTGCTTCTTCTGCAGCCACCTCTGGCTCTTGCTTTTCCCTGTTTTCTGCATCCTTCTCTTCTTCAACATTTTTCAAGGTGTTTTCTTCAAGCGCTTGATTCCCGTTTTCAGAATTCGGCTTTTCGAGCGGCTTTTCCGTAGCTAGCGTATTCCTTCTGTCTCGTTCAGACTCAGCTGCGATATCCTGTTCTTCATCCAGAGCGGATCCAAGTGTTTGTGTCTCGGATACGGAGGCACCTGTCGTTTCAGTTGGGGCCGGAGTAAGCTCGAGTGCGGCCTCTCTTGGTGTATCTTCAGGGGCGGTTGCGGCTGCAACTTCATCTTCCTTTGCAGAACCAGTAGTATATGATTTAACAGACATGGCTTTGGGCTCCACAACCCCAGCGGGCGCACCCGAAGACGAAGGTTTCTCTGCTTCAGGGGCTTCTGTTGCGGCTTCCACTGTGGCTGCTGTAGTTTCTGTTGGTACTTTCTCCTGCGGATCGTGGCTCGAATTTGAGTCGCTCAACTCAATCACATCATCATCCATTTGGACCTTAGAGGGGAACACTTTGGTGGTGGTTTCCCTTCTATTCACGTGCAGATCCACAGGATCGACTTGTTCTTCCAGCATGTCCATGGCCTCATCGCAATCCTCATCGTCATCTTCGTCGTCATCTTGGCTGGAAGTTTCTTCTTTCGGGGACGACACTGACTGACTATCGTCTGATATTATTTGGATCTCGTCGTTCGCACTTTGACCTGTACTTGCAGATGGTTTGTTTGCAGCATTCAAGCCGATTATCGACTGATTTGTGGGGGTCTCATCGACTACTTCTTCAGACTCTGATGTTGAGGAAACTGATTGTATTTCCTCGGTGGATAAAGGTGTGCTTTCATCATCGATGCAGATCGGTGCATTGGGAGCAGGTTCCTTAGTAGAGTCTGATCGAATCTCTACTGATACCTGTCCTTTGTCTGGTGATGATTGAGAGAGTTCTCCCAATGGCTCCTGAACTGCCAGTGGAGCGGGCTCTTCCTGAACGCTTGAAGTCGGAGCATTGGGAACAGATCCCCTAGAATGTTCGGAGCGAGTTTGTGCGGATTCCTCTGCTTTTTCTGGTCCAGGAACCTCGACTACAGGTGATGGGGTGCTTTCCTCAGCGATGGAACTTTGGGCACTAAGAGAAGGTTCCTTAGTAGATTCAAAAATAATCTCTGATGTTTCTTTCTGTGCTGATGATTGGGGCAGTTCCTTTGATTCCCCTAATGCCTTCTCGTCTGCAAGAGAAGGGGTGCCTTCCTCAACGATAGAAGTTGGAGCACTGGGAACAGGAACTTCAGAACTTTCAGTCTGTGCGGATTCCTCTTCCTTTTCAGGCAATGGATTCTTAACAGGATGAACTGCAGGTGGTGGGGTGACAGATCCCTCAGCGATAGAACATGGGTCACTAAGAGCAGGTTCCTTAGTAGATCGCAAAACAATCTCTGATGTTTCCTCTTCTTTTCCTGGGGTTGATTGAGGCAGTTCTTTCGCTGCATCTACAGGCGCCTCAACTGAAGGGGATGGACCTCTTTGCTCAGCTTCAGGTCCGGTTTCTGTTTCAGTTTCATGTTGAATATTCCGTTCTGGTGTTGAGATAATCGCTTCGACTTTATGTTCATTCGGAGTTGCTTCCGAAACTTTCTCAGAAGTTGAATCCTCTGGAGAAGCAGCCGCTTCGTTGGTTGTGCAAGTCTCGGGGATGACTTCCGCCTCAGATGTGGACTTCATTTCAATTTCTTTGGGTAACTCAATGGCTGTGGCTGTTGGCGTTGCTTTAGGGTCTACAGCTGAGACGTCAGCAGTGATCTCATCCTCCGTCGTGTGGCCAGAAAGTGACTGATCGATGTCGGCTTCGTGCGTTTCTGCATTGCTCGAGGCATCCCCTGGAATGACTTTGTCGTCGTTAGTCGATTTCCTCTGGACTGAAGTCTGTTCCGAGGGCAATGTCTCCGCTTCGTGGGCGAGTTCTTCATCAACTGCTTTAAGGAGTTCATCGCTTGGGGATTTGCGACCATCTGAGGTGGCCACCACATCTTCAAAAGTGTTGGAGTCATCTAATTGGATGACCTCTTCGTCATTTCCGTTCTCTCTGGCAGGTTCCTTCGTTGGGGATTTCTCGACTTCCTTTGCGACCTCCGGGATGAACTCATCCTTCGTTAACTCCATGTCTGTTGACTCCTCCAGAAGGAAAGCCTCTTCAGGTTTCCCGATAACAGATTTGTCGCTGGGAGACGTTTTCTCGGCAGCTTCCGAGGCCGATGTTTCCGCATCCTGGCCATTGCTCCGTTGACCTTCACTTGGACTCTCGTTTTGGGTTGTGTCTTCTGGCTTTGCATCTTGTTGAATGGCATCCTCTTTATCCTTTCCATCTGCAGGTTCTTCGGCTGGAGATGCTTCAGGTTCTGGCATTTCCTCGACGGTGGAAACATCTTCAAGTCGGTTTGAGGCATCCAATTGAATCACCTCATCTTCAGCTAGATCCCCGGCAGTTGATTCATCCAGATTATTTGTTTCCTTTGCTGTGTCGATTGCGGATTTCGTGCTGCCATCCTGCCCTCCAGCTGCAGGTTTCTCGTTTGCCTCCGCATCGCTAGGCACGTCCAGTGGGGACGCGTCCTCTTTCTGGTTTCGGCTGGGCAGCTCTTCCACTTTGGGACCATTGGTCTGCTGATCCTCAGGTCGAATTTCATCTAGCGTGGTTTCCAATGCAATGGAATCGTCTTGAATCTCTTCAATTAAAGAGTCCTCTGGCACCTCTTCGATAAAAGATTCCTCTGGCAAGTCGTCAACTAAAGATTCCTCTGGCGCCTCTTCAATCAACGATTCTTCTTGCACCTCTTCGACTAAAGATTCCTCTAGCACCTCTTTTATCAACGATTCCTCTGGCTCCTCTTCAATCAAAGATTCTTCTGGGTCCTCTTTAATCAAAGATTCCTCTGGCACCTCTTCGATTAAAGATTCTTCTGGCACCTCTTTAATCAACGATTCTTGTGGCGCCTCTTTAATCAACGATTCCTCTGGCTCCTCTTCAATCAAAGACTCTTGTGGCACCTCTTCAATCAAAGACTCTTCTGGTAACTTTTCAATCAAAGATTTCTCTGGCACATTTTTAATCAACGATTCCTCTGGCACCTCATCAATCAAAGATCCCTCTGGCTCCTCTTCAATCAAAGATTCCTCTGGCACATCTTTAATCAACGATTCCTCTGGCACCTCTTCAATCAAAGATCCCTCTGGCTCCTCTTCAATCAAAGATTCCTCTGGCACATCTTTAATCAACGATTCCTCTGGCACCTCTTCAATCAAAGATCCCTCTGGCTCCTCTTCAATCAAAGATTCCTCTGGCACATCTTTAATCAACGATTCCTCTGGCACCTCTTCAATCAATGATTCCTCTGGCTCCTCTTCAATCAAAGATTCTTCTGGCACCTGTTTAATCAACGATTCCTCTGGCACCTCTTTAATCAAAGATTCCTCTGGCACTTCTTCAATCAAAGACTCTTCTGGTAACTTTTCAATCAAAGATTTTTCTGGCACCACATCAGCTTCTTGCGGTGGATCGATGATGGACGTGGACTCTTGGTCAACAGTTTCTAAAATGCTGAATGCATCCAATTGAATTGCCCCATCTTCAGGTGGTGTCTCAGCTTCCTTTGGACTCTCAGCTCTGCTGATGTCTTGTGTCACGTCCACTACATTTGAGTCCACTTCCAGACTATGGGCTTCTTTTGCTGGTTCACTTGCTGACTCTGTAGCAGGAGACGCTTCGCTTTGTTGTTCCCCAGCAGGCTTGGGCGCACTGGAAGCTTCCAATTCTTTGTGTTCGGGTTCGTCTGTGCTTGTAGCCGTCTCATGGGATAGTGTCTGTGGATCTTCGAAGTCAATTGTATCTTGAACAGCGTTTACAACAGCCGACAGTCCCAGGATATCCTCTACCTCAGATCCTTCTTCGACCAAAGATACATCGGTTGGCGTTTCCTTTGCTTCTGGCATTTGCTCAATGATATCCAAACTATTCTCAACTGATGGAGTATCTTCCTTTTCCTTTGGAGCTGGATATTCTTCACAACTCTCCTTCTCCTCCTCATCTATGTCTCGGACTGCACTCTCTGGGGCCTCCTTGATTGGTGACCTCTCTTCCACAGGCTTCCTTTCAGTGCCCTTGTCTGTGATGCTTTCTTCTGGCAGCTCTTTGGGTGCCGATTCAACTTCAACCTCAGACTTTTCGGCTGCGCTTTCCTCTGGCAACTCCTTGGAGGACGATGCTTCCACTTCTGATACGAGTATTTCCGGTTTGGCAGCTGTGACTGGGCTTGAGACGTTCAGCTCAATGGCCGAATATTCGATTGTAGAGTCCAGAGGATAAGTCTCGGACTCGGTAATCGTAGCCTCCACGACAGAGGAGACATCCGTTTCTTTAGCCTGCGGTGCTTTGGTGTCTTCGCTTAAGTCCAGTTCAATTATCATTGAAGAGTCGTTGGACATGGTGTTGCCTTTGGTGGCATTGATGCTGCTTTCAGTCGTGATGTCTTGTACTTCGATCAACGAAATCTCATCGACTAAAGAATCGACGGCTTCTATGGATTCCTCGACGGATATAGGTATATCTTTGCCATTTGTATTAGTTGGGTCTGTGGCAGCGTGTTTGTTGGGCGATGTCACAGCAGATTCTTCCACCTTCTTGTGGGGAATGTCTTTTTCTGCGATTGTCTCCTCATCATCGCTGAACACCAAGGGTTCGCTCAGACCCACGATTGAGTCAGTGTCGGAACGATCGTCACTCGGGATCGGTTCAGATGGCGGACGGACGGTCTGAGCCTTGGTCTCCTCCACGGTCACGTCGCCCGATTCAACACCAGAGACTGACACTACCAGAGGGTCGGAGAACATCGAATCCGAGGTCTGATCCAGCAGCTGGATGCCGCTTATGTCGTTGACGCTTGGCGAGGTGTCCCTGGACGCCCCTCTCTCCTCAGTCAGTGTGCTGAGGTTTAGGTCCGCCCTGATGGCAGCTTTGTAGGTGGTGCTGGTCGTCGCAGTCTTCCTGTAAGTCGTGGCAGCACTCAAGTTCATCAGGTCCTCCGACGAGACCGATTCGTTTCGCTTGGAGGCAGCCAGGGGATCGGCGTCAGTGGCTGTGCTGATGGAAGTCACATTTATTTCGAATTCACTGTCGTGCGCATGGACAGCGGACGTGCTGGGTACATCGTGGAAGATATTGTCCAGGGGCAGAGTGTGCCTTCCAACGCTCAAATTGCAACTTATCAGCACCGAGTCGCTGGTGTAATCCTTGCGCGAATGTAGCACCGCACTGGCCGGCTCATTGGGGACCATGATGTTCTTGGCACTGGGTGTCTTCAAAATACGGTCGAGGTCCCTGCCTTCTGGCTCTTCCGCTGGTGCTCTGTGCCTGCTCCTTCGCGGCGTGTCCGAGACGCTGTCAGAGCGCTCCAGCAGCTCCTCAATGTTGCCCAGAATGGGCGAGGCAGGCATCTTGGGGGTCTGCATCAGTTCCCGCAAGCCCTTGTACAACGGCGTGCTGCAGCTCTTGGGCGTCTTTAGCATATCCCTCAGGCCATGATAGTCCACATTGTCGGGCTCATCTGTGGCCAGTTCCGTGCCGTAATCCTCGTCTTCAGCGGCCGCTTTTTCTTTTTCTGTAACAAAGCAAACACTTGAGATATATTTAATCCCAAGGACGTGTCTAATTATCAGCCTACCATCTGCCGGAGCAGCTTCCTCCACAATGACGCCCATGTCGCCGACGGATTCATCGACTAAATTGGTTCGCTTGGGCGTGTTTAGCAGGCGCTTCGACTGCCGCGTTGGCGTGCCCATCTCCTCTGTCAGACGACGCTTTCGCGTGGGCGTGGCCAGGGCCTGTGTATCGGCCGCAGAGCAAGAGGCGCGTCGCGTGCATTGGCCGATTACATTCTGGCCGCTATTGACCTCGACAGAGGCTCGGCGAGTGCTGCGTCGCGGAGTGGTGGCCAAAGTCCTCTGGTCAGCGGAGAGGCGCCGCGAACTCCTTCGAGGCAGGGGTGTCTGTAAAGCTGGAGCTTCTTTCTCCACTTCCATAGCCGGCTTCTCAACTGTTGACGCTTTTACAAGGGAAGTTTTGTCCTCTTCAATCGTCTCCAGACTCTCCAGTTGGTCCTTTTGTGATGCTTCTAAAATCAAGGCTTGTTGAGGGCCATTCATTCTGAAATGCAATTCATGTCTTACCTTCTGCATTGGCTTTCGGATCTGTGGGGAGCTCCTCGCAAATGCTGTCGTCAATCAAAACCGCACCTGAAGGAAAAAAGGGTTTATGCTGTACGAACTGGACTCGATTCAAAGATTCCTTTTCCCCACTTACCCTCGACGATTTTCTCGGGCAAATCTACGTGAATCTCTTCACATATGCTATCCTCGATAATGGGAATCTCATCTACTGCATCTACTGGTGGCTCTTCAGTGGCTACCGCTGTTTTGAGACTCTTTAAACTGTCTTCTATGACCTCCTGGGTGGCTTTAGTGCTGCCCATTTCTCCGGCCATTAAAGAAGCAAAAGCCTCGACTGTTGATCCCGCTCTGCTTGGCTCTCCTCCGCTTTCATCATCATCATCCTTGATGGTAAACGTGCGGCTCAGATCATCCCCAGAGTCGTCCAGCTTCTCCGGGGTGGAGCATTTGCTTTTGGATATATTTAATTCCTTCCCCACGCTTCCGCTCGTTTGTGGTGTCAATGGGGCGATGGACGAGGCTGGCTTGGGTGATCCATGCCTGGGTGACCCGATCCTAGGCGACCCTAGCTTGGGGGAACCATCCCTGGGAGAGTTGCTGAGGGAGCGTCGAGCCTTGGACACCAACTTGTTGCTCATTTCCACATTGGGACTGCGCCTGGCCCCAGCCAGGGACTGCCTCATCTGGGACAGTTTGTTCTCCCGGGGACTGGCAAAGAACAGAGATGGTCGCTTGCGAGGCGAGGTCCTGGGTGTCTTGGCCTTCTCCTGATCGGCCGCTCGTTGGGCAGCGGTTCGTTTCAGTGGATGGAAAGGCAGACGAGTCGGTGTGGTGAGGCACTGACGACGCGCCTGCAGCAGAGATGGTCGTTTCGGCGCGGCCACAGGCGTGGTTGGCTCTGCTCGATTGGCAGCAATCTGCTTTTTGGTACTCGTCAGCAGAGCCCGTTTCATCAGGGACTGTGGCGTTCGCTTGGGGGTCGCCGCAGCCGCCAGTCTCTTGGGTGTCTTGGCCACTTGGTGCGACGGAGCTGGAGCTGGAGATGGCGGCGTGTCCGCTTGGGTTATGTCTATGACGAGCGGCGAGGCACCTGACGATTCGTCGGCGCTGTCGGACACAATGATGGGCGTATGCTTGAGCGTGGGACGCAGCTTTTGTGGTGTTGTCAGGTCAATGAGATACATGGAGGTCTTCCGCCGGGTCTTCTTCGATGTGGATGGTGTGCTGAAGTCGAGCAGATCCCGACTGCAGCTGTCCTCATTCAGCTCCGACAGCACGCTCTTTGGCGTGCTGTAGACGCTCTTGGGCGTGGAGATTGTCGTCACGTTGGGTTTGCGGACACATGTGAAGGACTTCTCCGTCTTGACACCAGTCTCGCGGGGCGAGAACGAGGTGATGACCACATCGGAGAGGGCACAGAGCTTCAGCAGCTTTTTGTGACTGGCTGGTGGGGTGGCGGTGTTCTCTTTGTTTTGCGTGGCATCCAGAAGATCTACTTTCGGAGTCTGACCAGCTTCGGCTGCTGGCTCGTCGTCTGCATTTGGCGGAGTCTTGCAGCGTTGGCTTTCGTCTGCCTCCACATGGGCATCGCTTTCATCCCGCGACTCAATCGAAGTGTTGCCCTCGTCATCCGAATTGATGCAATAGCGAAAGCTGCAAAGAAAACATTGATGATTATAGGGCCAAATTCTAGGACAACCAACATATGTAGGGAATATGTGTGCACAGACACAGACACAAACGGAAAAAAAACACACACACACAAACACACCCAGAGTGATGAAGGATATTTTAGGGTTGGCCGTCGTCTACCTGGGTGACTGCCGGCCCTGCCAGACGGCTTCACTTACTTGTGCACGGTCAAACGCTTGTCGATCTGAGGACGGTGGGACTGCAACTGTAAGGCAAACAGAGGGAAACAAAGGGAAAGTTCGTCTTGAGAAACTGTACTTGGTACTGTATGTGGCCTCTGCAGATACTCCGAATCGACATACCTTCAGGGATGGGCAGGAGTTGGAAGCCTGCTCAACGGGCGACAGGCGTTCGGGAGTGCGCGGCACATCTTCCGTCTCGGAGATCTTGGGGAACTCCCAAGTGTAGACCTGATTGAGTATGGTGATGCGTCCGCCATGTAGCAGCGGCCGCTTGCCATGCAGAACCTTATCGTTCAGATGGACGAGCTCCTTAAGCGATTTGTTGTTGATGGTTACCTGGGGACAAGCACATGCTGTTGATAGGGCAAATCGATGCACTCCCCCCTCCACTCACCCTGCCGAAGGCGTCGCATTTTATTTCGCAAAGCAGCTCCTCAACCTGGGGCCCATCCAGGACCAGGTCACAGCTCAGATACGAACCCACCTGGAAGGTGCGTCCTTTGGCCGCCACAACCACGGGCAAGCCGCTTTCGTCAACATACCGCAATTTAGCGCCATCCAAAGACATTTTGCTGGAAATGCTGCGGCCCGGCCGCAAAGTAGGAGTGTGAGTGGCGCAACTTTGGCTTTGGCTTGGGTGCAAAAAAAAAACCGAAAAGAAGCCGCACGGCGGAGGAGACGAGCGAGACTTAAGCGAGTCGCGAATAAACACCTGGCCTAATAGTTGTTCACAGTAATTGGTACACTTTTCACACAACAACTATGCTGTTTCCCCCTGCAGTACGATATTTTTAATATCTGACGGAATTTTTTTTTGCAATGGACGCGCGAGTGTGACCTGCCAATCGGATGCAATTGCGCCAATGTAGGCGTTAAGTTCGAAATTGAGTTCTTTGGGGCTGACAACTCGCTTAAATGTATATTATGCAGGAATAGGTTTTCCAGTTTTTCATTAACAAACAAAATAAAAGAAAAGCTACGTTTGCGGATTTTAGCTGTTTGTGAGTAGCTTCATGACATAACTACACTTAACAATTAAATAACAAGAAATAGTCGAGAATTTCACGAGTTGCATATGCCAATCTGGTCATACTAATAATTGATATCGAAATAATAAAAAAAAACAATTTGGACGAGAGCCGATGTATGAGCGTACTATGGTCGTTGGCAGTCATATAGAAACATAACTCATCATTCGTATAAAATTAGCTAGTAACATTAGACGGAATACCAAAAAAGAGGAATATGTATAATAGAACATAAATTTGTCAGTATATTTACGGTATATTTTGGTATATTTCGAAAGGTCGATATATTCTATCGATAAATGTGATCCCAATAGCCGGAATAAAACAAAAAAGAATTGATAAAGAAATATTAGAAGAATCTACGAACAAAATGGATGTCGATGCTGCACAAAAGACTTGGGAGCTGGAGAACAACATACAGACTCTGCCCAGCTGTGACGAAATCTTCCGCTATGATGCCGAACAGCAGCGTCAGATTATTGACGCCAAGCCCTGGGAAAAAGATCCACATTTCTTTAAGGACATAAAGATTTCAGCTCTGGCGCTGCTGAAGATAGTCATGCACGCCCGCTCCGGCGGCACTCTCGAGGTTATGGGCTTAATGCTGGGCAAGGTTGAGGACAACACGATGGTGAGCAAACAAAAATAACAAACAAAAAGACAAAGAACCTCTTACGCTGAAGTCTCATTCGCCGGTAGATTGTGATGGACGCGTTTGCCCTGCCAGTGGAGGGCACTGAGACACGCGTGAATGCCCAGGCGCAGGCCTATGAGTACATGACTGCCTACATGGAGGCTGCCAAGGAGGTTGGGCGCATGGAGCATGCCGTCGGCTGGTACCACAGCCACCCCGGATACGGCTGCTGGCTGTCTGGCATTGACGTTTCCACACAGATGCTGAACCAGACCTACCAGGAGCCCTTCGTGGCTATTGTGGTCGATCCTGTGCGCACTGTCTCTGCTGGCAAGGTTTGTCTGGGTGCCTTCCGCACCTATCCAAAGGGCTATAAGCCCCCAAACGAGGAGCCATCCGAGTACCAGACCATACCGTTGAACAAGATTGAGGATTTCGGTGTGCACTGCAAGCAGTACTATCCGCTGGAGATTAGCTACTTCAAGTCGGCTCTGGACCGCAAATTGCTCGACTCCTTGTGGAACAAGTACTGGGTGAACACCCTGGGCAGCTCTGGGCTGCTGACCAACACGGAATACACCACTGGCCAGATCATGGACTTGTCCGAGAAGCTGGAGCAGAGTGAAAACTTTCTGGGTCGCGGTAAATATCGAATAGAAGCCGAGTCTTGAGCCTTCTAAGTGCCAGCTTCTTATTTCACAGGCACCGATGTTAACGAGAAACGCTCCGAGGACAAGCTGTCCAAAGCTACGCGCGACTGCAGCCGCTCCACAATTGAGTTGATACACGGCCTGATGGCCCAGATAGTCAAGGATAAGCTCTTCAATAAGGTGGGCCTGGGAAAATAGGGCCTCGCTGCATTAGATCATTATAAAATACGATATTTCTATTGATTTCAAAATACACCGAGTGGATTGAAATTTTTCTTTAAAAACGCTACTAGCTAGACTCCAGACAGCCAAATGACTGCTTACAGAATTATTCCTTAGTTGTTTGGGTACTCTTTGGGACGAGGTTCGTTTATTTGAAATGTACTTTGGACAGCAGCAGCTATGGCATTGCCTTCTCATCAATCAATTTGTTTCATCATTTATATCGTTAAGCGTATTTTATAACTTTTATTCCCTGATTGCGTGTCTGTCAAGTGTCAGGACGGCCTGTTGGACACCGATACCGGTGTCTGCATAGGTCACAAGTGAAGTGTCAACGCTCTCCCTGCACGTGGCCCAATCAATTTCGTTGACTAGAGAGGTGGCTTGGTCGCTTATTAAATACGTTGTCACGTTTATAGCCTGGTCCCTGGCATACCATCCCCCGGCACCAGATGGCGGTAATGCAAATACCAAGCTCCTTGCTACAGTGAACACTCGAGTCTCGAGAGAGACTAATAAATGAAGATTATCCAAAGCATAAATCAATGAACATGCTAGAGGAATTTTTTTACTGCTACCGATAATAGTTGATAATTATCAAGGACTATACTATAACAATATGTTGCACAAAAAGTGGGCCGTAGACAGGGTTGTGCAAGGTTTTAATTCTCCTTTCATATATGCTTCGTTACTGACCGTGGCCCGCGGCATATTCGGCACGTCTGTTTTGTCTGGAAAGCTGAGTCGGTGCCATAATCCTAGAACGTAGGATCTTCGATCTGCAGTTTGTACAGTACTTTCTAAGGCCAGATCCGTTGATCCGGCTTCGTTTGCTTACCTCTTTTACATTTTCTGATACAGTCACAAATGATATATCTTATTGAGTTCATCCCGTCGGGAGTCCACCGTACTTTCCGCTCTCTCTCCAACCACATTTAACCGTTATCATCACTTTGACAATCCTGGCGTCGCACCAATGTCAAATATTTGTGTGCAAGTGTAGGTGTTTTTGTGTGTTTGCTATACCCCTATAAATCCCTCTGCCCCAAGAACTTCTATAAACAATGCAACCGAATTCGGTTGGGGGGAATTTTTAAATCCCCAAATGTAAATTGCGGCGTTAGACAGGACAAATAATCCGACATCAAAAGCAAAATAATTCCAAGAAAAATAACATCGCAAACAGAAAGGGACACAGAATTGTCTTTTATAGAGATTTAGCTTCAAGTAAAACCCTCCGTACCATTCCGCACTGTAGGGAAAGCGGCTTTAGCGTGTGAGTTATTATTATAAAAGCCATAAACTAGGGGAAAATACTTCATTTTTGATACTTTATCGAAATGCGACAGTCAATTGGCCTCAACAAGGAGCAATGACATGAAATGTAATACTGCCCGACTAGGTGGGGGGTACTGAAAGGGAATAAGTGCGGACGGACTACTAAGAGGGGTAAGAGTAAGAGTGTAAGCTGAGTGCTGGTCGACTATAAAAGAGCTGGAACCCAGGGGTAGACGTTTCATTCGCACAGACAAAGCCAGCAGGAAAGCTTTAACACAGTACATACCATCCACAAGGACCGCACAAGGTCCGAAGCCATGTCCCCACAGCCACAGTCACACCCACACACGACAGCATCCTCCATCAGTGAAGCAGAACAAGGAAATTAAAGCCACAACGGAAAAAGCAAAGGACGAGCAACGAGACCGACTGAAGAATATAATGGTAAAATTGTCGACTCTGCGGGATTGCGTGTGTGTTCGTGTGTGAAGTGCAGCCTGCTTGGGGACGCCTGTGTGTCATAAATTGAATTTCCTTCAAATTAGAAACTAAATAGGGCTCGGATTCTGCCGGAGAAGATTGCCAACTAAAACGGAAATAAAAGAGAAAATAAGTAACGTTTAAAAAAGAATTTTGAGCGAGTCTTAAAGTGTGCCATAGAAGTTGGACCTGTTGAACAAGGTGAGGCATACCATTGAGCTATCATTGAAGAAGTTGGACCTGTTGAACAAGGTGAGGCATACCATTGAGTTATCATTGACAGAGAGATAGAAAGCTGGGAGATGGGATGATGGAGAATCTTTTATGTTCCTATTTACTTTCACAGATTCACAGATCCATCAATCATGTATGGCATGCTCTATGAGAGTGTCCAGCACTATGTGCAGGAGGAGTACGGCACACACGTTTGGAAGAAGGTCTGTCAGATCATCGACTGCAAGCACAACAGTTTCAAGACCCACCAGATCTATCCGGACAAGCTGATGCCGGACATAGCGGCGGCCCTGTCCGCCTGCACGGGCGAGTCCTTCGACTCCTGTATGAACTTCTTTGGGAAGTGCTTCGTCAGGTTCTTTAGCAACTTTGGCTACGACAAGATGATTCGCTCCACGGGCCGATATTTCTGCGACTTTCTGCAGTCCATCGACAACATTCACCTGATCATGCGGTTCACCTATCCCAAGATGAAGTCGCCGAGCATGCAGCTGACCAGCATGGACGACAAGGGGGCTGTCATCCTCTATCGGAGCAGCCGAACGGGCATGTCCAAGTACCTTATTGGGCAGATGACGGAGGTGGCTCAGGAATTTTATGGACTGCACATCAAGGCATATGTAATCGAGAGCCAAAACGACATCAGCGGCGGGACGGCGGGTCCCATCAAGATGACGGAGGGTCCGCTTACTGTCATCGTGAAGTATCGCCTGGACTTCGACAACTCTGAATATATGGCCAAGCGTGTGAACACGGAGGCGCATCCCTCGCAGCTGAAGATGCCCACGGTGAAACTGGACGTTTTTCTGGACCTGTTCCCCTTCACCTTCGTCCTGAACCACGACATGAAGATTACACATGCCGGGGAGAAGATTGTGGAGACATGGATAATGCACAATCCTGGGGCTAATCTCAAGGGCTTCATAGGCACTCACGTGATGGACCTGTTCCACTGTCGACGGCCCAAGGACACCACCATCGATTGGGACACATTGATCCAGATGCGGGCGGTTCTCTTCGAGTTCGAGCTGATCCGTACGGGGCATAATCGGGATGCCTACGACGCAGCCCTGAACATGGACTTTGAGAACTACGACGAAATGGATCTAAACGAGGCGCAGACCATGGCCATCACTAAGGCCAAGGAGTTCAATGACGCACATCCTGCCGAGGCGGAGCTGGCTGCTGGAGAGGACGAAATCGATCCGGCCACGGGTGAACGTCGCTCCTCCCAGGGCCTGAAATCCATTCTGCTCAAGGGTCAGATGTTCTACATCAAGGATGTGGACTCGCTGATTTTCCTGTGCAGTCCGTTGATCGAGAACCTGGATGAACTGCATGCCATTGGTCTGTACCTGAACGATCTCAACCCGCATGGCCTCAGCAGGGAGCTGGTCATGGCTGGCTGGCAACACTGCTCGAAGCTAGAGATCATGTTCGAGAAGGAGGAGCAGCGATCTGATGAACTGGAAAAGTCCTTAGAGCTTGCTGACTCTTGGAAACGTCAGGGTGATGACCTCCTATACTCCATGATCCCACGTCCCATTGCCGAACGAATGAGGAACAGCCAGGAGCAGGTTTGTGAGAGCTTCGAGGAGGTCTCCGTCATCTTCATCGAGGTCCTGAATGTCTACGACGGCGGCTTGAACAGCATTCAGGGAGCCATGATGGCAGTGAATACGCTGAACAAGGTTTTCTCGGTTCTCGATAAGGAAATCATTTCCCCGTTCGTCTACAAAGTGGAGACAGTGGGCATGGTCTACATGGCGGTGTCCGGGGCACCGGACGTCAATCCCTTGCATGCGCAGCACGCGTGCGATATGGCACTGCGCGTGATGAAGAAGTTTCATCCCAAGGATATGGGCGATGTGGCTATTCGGGTGGGCATCAACTCGGGTCCCGTGGTGGCCGGAGTCGTTGGCCAAAAGGTTCCCCGTTATTGCCTCTTCGGGGATACGGTCAATACCGCCTCCCGCATGGAGAGCAGCAGTGATCCTTGGAAGATTCAGCTCTCCAAATACACGGCAGACAAGGTGCGAGAACTTGGCTATAAGGTCGAGTCCCGTGGTACTGTCAAGGTCAAGGGTAAGGGCGAAATGGAGACCTATTGGCTGCTCGAGGGACCAGAGGGCTAAACGATTGAATAGAAATGAAAAAAAAAATTATTTATGATTTAATGTAGAACACCTGCACTAAAAATATTGTACTACACTTAAAACTAGTTGCAATAAAAGAGAATTTCCCTCTTTCTACTTTCAGTTTGATTGAATCTAAGTCTAAGTATATCAGATATCTCATCTGAGGTCACAAACCCTAGTTTAACGACACTCGTAAACGGGAATTTAGTTAACAACCGCTTTCCTTTTGCTCGAACGGAACTCCTCGTCTAACTGACGAGGGTCTCATATCTAGCCCCATTCCCAGCAGACAACCCATTTCCGAATATCCCTTTTTAATAACTTTTATGGGGAGATTGCGTGTCGTTTGGCACACCATCTATAGCTATCCAAGCAGGCCCAACTATCAGAAGCCCATGTAAGTCGTAAATGGACTGGGTTCTGCACTGAGAAAAAATCTTTGATATCAAGAATACGAGTGTAGGTTTTTCTACTTGGACCCCAGATCCTTAAAGATATGTATGTACATTTATGAGAGTTAATAGATACATAGATCGTAGCGTGGAAATAGATCAGGATAGAAAGATATTGGGCCACCTTTATCGTCTTTTCCACCTTTGCGTCTCTGGAAGCTTTTGATTGCCAGAAGATTATGCCATACGATTCTGCACACAGAATCTGGTTATACTTGCTATATTATCCCCTTATAATAGTTATAAAGAGACGTGCAGATATCGCCTCGGCTATTGATCCTTTATGGGATCCTGTTACATACATTTACACGAATTAAATATATCCCGATACTGTTTTTAAGTTCCAAACTAGTTTTAAGTATTGAAGGAAACATCCCTTAAGAATTTACTCGACCTATATCTAAAATTAAATTGCTCAAGATGTAATTAGTTTTCTCTAAGTGCGTTCACGTCGATGGCTTTTGGAGTTCCTTTACTTACCCTGCTCTTCTTACCGAAATGAAATTAAGCCATTTTGCGTGCACCGCAGAGAAGCTCAAGTGCCTGGACGTCTGCCAATTAATTCTAGACCAATAATGACAATGACCAATCGCACCCCCACACAGGACTAATTAAGTTTTTTATTTTGGTGAAATGAAGGGACAAAACATGATGTCCCTCTCGTATTTAGTTTTAGCTCAATTTCTCATTTTAATCGGCCCTTTCCTGTGCGTTATTAATGACATTTTGAGTGGGTTTTAAGCGTTGCCAAAATAGCCCTTCCGTTCCGTGTCCGTGACTCTGACATCCAGCAGAGATGCTCGCTGGCCCATGTCCTCGCACACTATCTTCACTTTTGGCAATTCATGCGCTGCCCATAAGATTGTCAACGCTTATTTGAAAAGCTCTCCCGGACAGCCGTTTGGGTAAAGTAGGACAAAGGTTCGGTTGGGAGGCTGTGAGGCTGTAATGCTGTGGGGGAGCCCCACGATAGACAAATCCGAAATCCTCTTTAAATTGCTTTAAAGCACAACATCAAATATGTAGCCAGGACTCTCTCATTCACACACACATGTTTATGAACGTTTGTATGTATTTATTGCAAAAGTATGCGTGAAAATGGAATGGCATTAAAAACAGTAGCCCCAACCCACTGTCACCCATCCAACCACCAAGGGAAATGGGAAAATGCCAAGGCAAAAACGAAAGCGAAAGGCTACGACAATGATACATTTGACGAGCAGTTAAAAGCAAAGACTTCCAGGGCTGGACGAGTGTCAAGAACATTCCCATATAACGGAATGGATAGAGCTAGATTTGGAAAAGAGTTCAGGCTTTATATAACATACGTACCAACTCAGATTAAGCTGAGTTGATTAAGTGTTCAAAATATTGATTATCATTGATGAAAGAACAAAAAAATAGTTGAAGCCTTAGTTATATGTAGGAGGCCTTTTAGGTCCGTAACCATTTATTGAAAATTATTTTATTGCCGTTCAAAATATTCTCCATGATGATAGATACACTTTACTCGTACAGCCGCTGAAACCAATCTTCAAATCACATTTTCTACTGTGAAACAAGACGGTGTATCACGAGAAAAATTCTAAGATTTGGGGAACTTTTGTTTTTTTAAGTGCAGCTCGTCGTAATGTAAAAAATCTATATAAAAATCCTTTATAACCCCCAAAAAAATAACCTTCGATGGAATATTTTCCTACTTTATGAAGAATCTGTTCAAGTGTTTCTATAAAAACGCTCAAACCCCCTCCATATAAAAAGTTTATTCAGATCAGAGAAGTAAAGCTCTTCTCTAAGAAGCCAAAGATGTATGTACGAGTATTACCCATCCCTGTGAAAACCTTTTAAGTGTAACGCAAAGGAGTTTGAGACAAGGGACAATATTTTGCACGGAATACCAAGAACGCGAGCACGTATTCGATGCGTATTGTGTGTGTACCATAAAAGAAACGAACAGAGAGAAAAATGAGTTCTTTGGCAGTGTGTCAATGTTGATACTTTATCGAGAAAGAGAGAAAGTGGCAATTGACATAGGACGGAGGACGGAGGACCCAGAGACCCGAAGCCAAGAGCATTGACTGCCGATGTCCATAATGATGATGATGATGATGGTCAAACAGAGAAGTGCGTGTCGAGGCGCAAACACGGAGGTCGTAAGTGGCCCGGAAACATCCATCCAGCAGGAATCTGGCTGCCGGGGGGCTATAAAAGGACAGACCGACAACGATACACGCTCCATTCGTACGACGACCGCCTGTCTGATTGCCGGCTGAGGGAAAAGCTTTGCACGACGGAACCGACGACATCGACTCCGACCCAGACTCACGAAGTTCTGTCAGAGGAATCATGGAGCAAATCACACGGGAAAAAGCCAAAGAAGCTGCGACAGGCGGACAAACAAATTTAGTGTAACAATAGCAACAGACGACGACGGAACACGGACCCAGAAACAGGGAGAGAGAAAGAGCTCCACAGAAAAAAAATATACATATCGAGTCTTAACGTATCCGGGAGGAGGCTGTGTGTGAGCATATGCCCCAAAAGTGTTTGTGTGAGTGTTCGGGCAGGTTCCCGTAAATTATAAATAAGCTACAAGCAAATGCCGCGTGGATAAAATTAAAACTTCAGAATCATATACCCGTGGTCTAACGAAAGAAGTGCGAAACAAAATTTGAATATCTGGAATACCTGATGGCGATTTAATCAACGGCGAAAGGCGAAAAGGCAATCTAATGTAAGCCGGATTAGCAGGGATACAATATGCTAATTTCACAGCCACTTGTGGGAGGGATTTATCAGGGAAATCAACTATGTTTAAGTGGGTATTAATTTTTCATTGGTTTTCCGAGCGAAGCAAAGGTTGGGCAGCCTCTTGGCGTGTATTTTAAATGGATCCCTAGATATTTATAGAGAGCTTTTACTTTGGGTGTTGAATTTGTTTGTAATTAATTACGTTGGGTCGCCTTTTTTGAGAAACCGTTTTATTAGTAGATTATTTATTATTATACAATTATTTATTGATAATTGAATAATCTGATTATTTTAATACTTAATCCCATCCACTCATCTCATCATTACGAATGATATCTAAAATATGATTGAAGAGATGAGCCCAGAAATATGTAAATTTAAATCCTGAAAATCAGCTCATTTTGTTATAAGAGTGATAAAACTGAGGATACAAAGATTATCACCTTTGCACAATTTTTTATTACTTAATAATATACAAAATTTATTGTGAGGATTTAAAGGATACATTATCTTATTTATTGGAAAAGTATGAATACTCGTAATAGAAAAGAGAATCCGCTTTAATACATTTTTATTTGTCAGTTAACATCCGGAAACATTAATCAAACGCCAGCATTTTCCTATACCACTTCCAAATGCAGACTAAAGAATTTGTTGGTATATATATGTATACATATTTTTACGACTCTTGGCCTAAGAGAAATGTGCCTGTTTTGGTCAAAATTGAATACACAAACTCCCGAAAGATGTTGGAAAATTTATGGCCCAACAGCAAGTTTAACCTTCGACCGGCCCGGGGGGCTTGGGGCGGTAAAATTGAAAAGAAGCCACCGCAACAAGGCGAATTAACGGCAACAAAGAGCCAAAGGAAATAAGTCAAGGGGACAACGAGCTCTGGCAAGGACGTGACGAGCACTGCGGAACATGAGTAAACGACTCAGAGGAGGCGCGTGCCTGGTCCTGGCACATGGCACATGTGGCCAAATTAAACTGTAGAGGCAATAAATCAAAAGGCAAGGAAAAGGAAAGCAGGCTTAACTTTCCCTAGCGCCTGTTGAGGAGTAGATAGGAGAGGACTGCAGTAATTCATTTTCCTGGAATATGTTACTTAATGTTCTTTAAAATCCAAGTCAATTTAACGCCTGATGATTTTATTTGATGGCTTACGGGGTAGGCGGTCTCTCACTTAAGCTCTCATCAATCACTCGAGCTTATCTTCGCTAGCTAATCCCTGGCCTGACACACTCTCTCATATCCTGGGGGCAGACTTCACCTAATTACCAGCAGTGAATAATGGAAAAACTTTGTTATCCTAATTATGTGTTCTCAAACTTTTCCTCGTTGCAGAGAAACTTTTGCCCAGGCAATTTGTGCGACAGAAAGAGCGAAAACTGACCATTCGCCACGAGAGACCTCAACATAGCCCCCACTGACACACTGATCCCAAAGGAGCCGCCCAAACAGCCGCCATCATGTATGGAATGCTGTACGAGAGCGTGCAGCACTACATCCAGAAGGAGTATGGGATGGAGATGTGGAAAAAGATCTGCCAGATAATCGACTGCAAGCACAACAGCTTTAAGACCCACCAGATCTATCCGGACAAGATGATGCCGGACTTTGCCGCAGCCCTCTCCGCCTGCAGCGGCGAGTCCTTCGATTTCTGTATGAACTTCTTCGGCAAATGCTTCGTGAGGTTCTTCACCAACTTTGGCTACGACAAGATGATTCGCTCCACGGGCCGATATTTCTGCGACTTTCTGCAGTCCATCGACAACATACACCTTCAGATGCGGTTCACCTATCCCAAGATGAAATCCCCGAGCATGCAGCTGACCAACATGGATGACAAAGGAGCTGTTATCCTCTATCGCAGTGGACGAACAGGCATGTCCAAGTACCTTATTGGGCAGATGACGGAGGTGGCTAAGGAGTTCTATAACCTGGACATGACTGCGTATGTTCTGGAGAGCCAGAACGACATTTGCGGCGGAACAGCGGGTCCCATCAAGCTGTCGGAGGGTCCGATGACTGTGATCGTCAAGTACCGCCTGGACTTTGATAATCGCGACTATATGGCCAAGAGGGTGAACGTCGTTGCCCATCCGTCCCAGATGAAGATGCCATCGGTGGACCTAAACGTGTTCCTGGAGCTGTTTCCCTTCACGATCGTGTTGAACCACGACATGAAGATAACACTCGCTGGCGAGAAGATCATCGAAACGTGGATACTGCACAATCCGGGGGTGAATCCGAAGAGCTTCATTGGCAGTCACATTTTGGATTTGTTTAAGTGCAGGAGGCCCAAGGACACCAAGATCGAGTGGGAGACCATTCTCCAGATGCGAACGGTTCTCTTTGAGTTTGAGCTTATCCGCACGGGTCACAATCGCGCGGCATACGATGCAGCCCTAAACTTTGACTACGACACCTTCGACGATGCCAGCCTCAACGAAGCCCAAGCCATGGCCGTGGCCAGTGCCAAGGAATTCAGTGTGGAGCACGCCAAGGACGACGAAGCTGCTGCCGCCACGAAGGATGAAATCGACCCTGCCACGGGACAGCGTCGTCCCTCTGTAGGTCTCCGATCCATCCTGCTCAAGGGTCAGATGTTCTACATTAAGGATGTGGACTCGCTGATATTCCTGTGCAGTCCGTTGATCGAGAATCTGGATGAGTTGCACGGCATTGGTCTGTACCTAAACGATCTCAACCCGCATGGCCTCAGCAGGGAGCTGGTCATGGCTGGCTGGCAGCACTGCTCCAAGCTGGAGATCATGTTCGAGAAGGAGGAGCAGCGTTCCGATGAGCTGGAAAAGTCCTTAGAGCTCGCTGATTCCTGGAAACGTCAGGGTGATGAGCTCCTCTACTCCATGATCCCTCGTCCCATTGCCGAACGCATGAGGAAGAGTGAGGAGCATGTCTGCCAAAGCTTTGAGGAGGTCTCCGTCATCTTCATCGAGGTGCTGAATGTTTACGACAGCGGCTCGAACAACATCCAAGACGCTATGCAAGCTGTGACCACACTGAACAAGGTATTCTCGGCTCTCGATGAAGAAATTATTTCCCCGTTCGTATACAAAGTGGAGACCGTGGGCATGGTATATATGGCCGTGTCAGGAGCACCCGACGTTAATCCTTTGCATGCGGAGCACGCATGTGATCTGGCCCTGCGCGTGATGAAGAAGGTAAAGGCCCATGCGCTGCCCGGCGTGGCTATTCGGGTGGGCATCAACTCGGGTCCCGTGGTGGCCGGAGTCGTTGGCCAAAAGGTGCCCCGTTATTGCCTTTTCGGGGATACGGTCAATACCGCCTCCCGCATGGAGAGCAGCAGCGATCCCTGGAAGATTCAGCTCTCTAACTACACAGCCACAAAGGTACGAAAGATCGGATACAAATTGGAGCTGCGTGGCTTGGTCAAGGTCAAAGGCAAGGGCGAGATGGAAACTTTTTGGCTGCTGGAAGGACCGGAGTAATATTGTAGCACTATCAATTGACTTGACCAATTATATAATAATAATCCGGCGTCTTAATAATTAATAAATTTCATTTTCTGATTTACCGGGCAGTCCTTTTGGAGTTGGCGCTGTGACGGGAGCCGGATATACAGTTTTTGTTCAAATCAATGTATCCAGGGGGACGCTGGTGCCACACCCTCCCCGCTGTCTATGTCAATGGCTATGCTATGGCAATGTCGAACGGCTGTCCAAATTGGCCAAGAGGCTCACCTTTGTGCCATTTGCCAGTGAACACATCAGTGCTGTGATTTCTGCTTTCGATCTGGAGCACCAGCAGCGAGGTTATGTAGTATGTCATGCCCGAATGAAGGAGGCTGCTGTTCTGGCCCGTCGTCGAGCGACGTTGCCCTAGCTACCAACCAGTATCTGATGCTTATTGTGTTCGAATGTGTGCCGATTGGCTGATTGGCTTCCACTTTTGTACTTGTAATTTCAAATTCCAACCGTTCTCTCAGATCCGACCGGAAGGCGTTGAGAAAAAGGGGTATGGACAACAGGTAACATGGCCCGGAAAATACAATGTAAAATCAACCCTTTTTGCCTAATATACCTTGAAAGACAAAATCGCACGCAAGGTGAGGTTCGTACGAACCTTGCAATTTGATTTGGTGGTTTTTTGCCTGTGGCCCATACCCTCTTTTATAGTCCATTTCAAATTTCGACTAATTTTTGGCGCGTCATTCGGACACCAGCTGTTCATGATTTCTTTTAATTTGTTTTTGATTCCGGTTTAGAGATACTTACGCTGTATATATAGTCACATTCACTAGATGACTGGCAAAAAAATGTTGCGTTTTAATCTAATTGTCGCGGTGTCCGAGAACTTCGGCATTGGCTTAAAGGGAGATCTGCCATGGCGCCTAAAGTAAGTTATTTAGAACCAATAAGTTAATACTGTGCCTAATATCTGCGGGAACGACTGCAGATCCGAGCTGAAGTATTTTAGTCGCACCACCAAGCGAACCAGCGATCCCAACAAACGCAATGTGGTAATAATGGGCAGAAAGACATATTTTGGAGTGCCCGCCAGCAAGCGTCCGCTGCCAGAGCGTTTGAACATTGTTTTGAGCACCACGTTGCAGCCCGCAGAGCTTCCCAGTGATGTGGTCTTGTGCCCCAGCCTAGAGGAAGCCATGAAGCATCTGGAAGAGGAGACCTTGCGCGACCAAATCGAGAACGTCTGGATTGTGGGCGGTAGTGGAGTTTACGAGGAAGCCATGGCCTCGTCCCGTTGCAACCGGCTGTACATAACCAAAATCCAGCAGAATTTCGAGTGTGATACCTTCTTTCCCAGTATTCCAGACTGCTTTCGTGAGGTGCCGCCCGATGCGGACACACCCGTAGGCGTGCAGGAGGAGAATGGCATTAAGTATGAGTACAAGGTTTTGGAAAAACGAGAATAATAAACCGATTTGTGCATTTATTTGCTTTTACTACTGCCGCGCACATCGTCTGCCGTGATTGTATCGCCGTCCAGTCCCTTGGCGGCTAGCATGAGTTCGTAGAGCTGCACCACCTGGTCATCCTTCAGCATTTCCACTGCATTGGGATCCATTTCCTCGCCCAGCTCTCCCTTGGGCTTACCTCGCAGGCCCAGCTGCTGGGTAATTGTGGAAGCATAGCGCTGCGTAAAGAACTGTCAGTTGCGAGGTCTGCCTCTTGGTAATTACGTAAAACTTACGGCCCATTCTGTCATAAAGAGCTGTGCCTCCATCGGATTACATTTGAGATGCCTCCTGAACTCGTCTCGCACATAGCCATCGCCCAGGGCACGCAGTTCTGTGGGCATTCCTGGAAATAACACCAATCCGTTACCAACGAAGTTTACGCTGACAACAAGATGCAAGCCATGTGGGCAACTCACCTCGATGCAGGCGGAGTATGGTTTTATAAAGCAAACGCACGCGCTGCGGGTGTGTGAGTTGATTTACCACAAGATTTGACATCGTTATTTTCTTACACAAACTAATACTTTATGAGTCAACAGAACTCAAAATGAAACACAAATTGAAATTACAGCAGTAGACAAGAAAAACAGCTGATCTGCCAAAAACAACCTCTAGATGGCGCGCCGCCATTACAGGAGCGGACTAAAGAATGAGAGGGTTTATTTTTCAAAATAAATCCATTTTCAATTTCGTTTATTTGTAGCATGTCTGTATATATATAATCACATGTGCAGTGTAACGTTCAATCTATCATGAATGCATCTCTTAGGGTCAAATTTAAAGTACATTTAGTGGCATGTGTATTGTGTGTATTGGACTGCATCTGCATCAGAAAATAACCCAATAAATTATATACACGCTCACACCTTGAATTAACTTTGGCTAACTATTGCACACCTCTCTCAATACTATACGCCTAATGATACCAAGCACCAAATGGGAGGTGGCGGAGGGGTACACAACATTGTCGTCGTCAGAATAGAAAACAATTTTTTAACAATTCAGTTTTGTTATTGCGGCGCCACTGCAGCCGGTGGCTCTTGATTCGCCGGTTCAGGCTGCCCTCCGTTTTGGCCTAGCAGTGGTTCTCCCCCCTCGCCGCCCCATGGAAATCCGCCGGGACGATCCTCGGCGGCCGCCTGGTAGTTGCGCTCAATGTGCTCATTGAAAAGCCGTTTTCTAAAAGGGAAGGAGCCATGCTTAAGCGAATTGTGGCTTTCATTAGAATAGAACTTACAGAAAATATGGAGTCTTAATCAGTCTGTAACCATTGGAGAGTGTTGGATATACGTCCTCCAGCACATAGTAGATGTGGCCCACGCCCATGCCAATAATGTCCACCCAAACCGTGTTGCCCAGAATCATGGAGCAGCAGAGCAGCACCCAGGGAAGATAGGGAGCCTGTCCAAACAAGATTAGTACACTTGCAGCTTATTCTCAGAGACCTCTTGGACTCACCTGAAAGTTGAGCACGCCGAAAAAGTTCATGGGCACCGAAGGATTTCGTCGCGACCACACATAGACCAGCATCAGAGTGAAGGCCTGGCCCAGGAACAACAGGTTAACAAATATTCCAAAGAATGTCATCAGCACGCCGCCAAAGATGAACATCATGACAAAGTCCGAGCTACGCCCGCGAAAGGAGCCGTCCTCCAGCATGCGACAGTAGCGATATGTGAAGACCATATTAAAAAAGAAGGTAATGCCGATGGTTCCAAAGTACAGGAATGTGGTGGCCAGTCGCCAGATTTGGAATTTGCGCACAATCAGCGTGGGATTAAAGTACAGCTGTAGCGGCGACACCAGGTCCAGGTGCTGGAGGAGCCAAAACAAAAATGGTTAGCAGGCTGATGGGAGAGTACACGTCACCCACTGGAGGCGGCGGCCTTAATCGGGACAATGACTTACCACCGCCAGCGTTGTGAGCACGCAGACCGTTGTGTAGGCCCTGGTGACGACCGGGATCTCCAGATAGAATTGCCGCAGAGCATTCATGGCGTCGGCTGGCTTCCGCTGGACTCACAGTATGGCAAAGCCTGCTCCTTGATTTGTGCGTTTTGTTGTTGTCTGCCCACCACTTTGCGTTCACATTTGCTACGTCGAAAACTCCCTCCGACGGATGTCCGATATGCTTGCCTAGGCTGACAACTCAATTTACAATCGAAACTATAAATATTTTATTTGGGGAACAACATTAGCCGCAAAACTTGAAAAATGTTTCAATAAATGTAAAAACAGTTTTTTTTTTCTGGAAAATAAAAAAATTGAAAAATATTGGCAACCCTGTCGATGTTCGGTTCTATCGGATTCCCACTAAAGCCCCCTGTATTTAAATAGTTCAACTACTTGAGGTATTACTGAGGATTTACTGATTGTAAATTCTTCTTGAGGATTCATGCCATCTCTACAATAAACTTAAAAAAAAAACACGATATTTTTCAGCTGAACTGCGCTAAAATGATTAAATTTTCATTATTTTCAGTGGAAAATTGAAATACCCCCTTGGCTTGTAATAGGTTAATCGTTCTCCGTCAGGATTGGAAACCATATTCCTCATATTCTTTGTTCCGTTGAATATTACCAGCTAAATAGAACATTTAGCCATGCCCACATAATTTTACACGATTAATGAATCAATTTTCTACAAGATTGGATAGTTTTTAATCCTTGCTTTTATTGGATTTTGCGTAAAAACAGGGTTAAACGAAAAAGTCCAACCAAAAAAGAGTCGCAATGTTGCTGGTATTTGAAGACGTAATGCGTTTATAGCCCTTTGGACACCCTCTTTCGCTAATTTTATATGATGATCAAACGTAATTTATTAAGACCTTTTCTCAAATTGATATTCTTTAAACATATTCAAGTACATTATTAGTATCTTGTATATATTTATGTCGATCCTGATACCTACTGAGCCTTGGAAGACAAACGTATTCACAATTCTATAACATTCATTTCCCCCAGGGTATGTGTGCTTGGAATTCGCAACATTTGTGCATGGAATTAGCAACATTGTATGGAATGAGACTCATTGTTGCTAAAGCGAACTGGGGCAAACTGCGGCGAACTGCGGCGAACTGCGCCGAATTCAAATTCGATTCAAAAAACGACCAATTCTTTGTTCCGTTGAATAATACTATCTATATGGAACATTTAGCCATGCCCACTCAATTTTATACGATTGATGAATCAATTCTATACATGATTGGCCTATTCGAAATATTTGCTTTTATTGGATTTCTATATAAAATTGAAAATTAAATTAATAGATTTCTGCCGGGGGAAGAAAACTGTTCGTCACTTTGGTCACACTAGAGTCGCAAAAATTCCCTAACGCCACAAGCAAAAACACAGCTTATGTAGTACTGGACTTTCGCAATAGATGGCGCCTTGTCAAGTTTGGCGGGAATTTAAAATTTGAATGTCATTAAAAAACTTGTCGAGACGCTGCATATTTCCTGCAAAAATGTACAGTTACACACATAAACACGGCTTATATCTGCTGCTCACACCCACTCACAAACCCCAGGCGCCTGAGCCACCTTTGCTCCCTCCAGCCTAGGAAACTTTACATAAATTCCAAAAAGGCCAAACCCCCAAAAATAAATCTTCGGCCAGCTCCAAGCACAAGGCAATTCAACAAGTTATTGGTGGCATCTCTCTTGCTCCCAGCCGATGCGAGCCAGTTCGTGTTCGTCAGCGTGATTTTGCCGCTTTGTAGTTGTTTCTGGCTCTGACTGCTGCTGCTGTTGCTTTTTTCCACTTTTTTTCTGGCTTGTTTCATGTTGACCCACTTTTTGGTGGCAATACGTGCGACTGCACAGTGGAACACAGACGTGGTGAAAGCTGAGAAGTGCAGCCGGCACTGCTTGTCGTTCGGTTTTGTGGAATTTTGCCCACCGTAGTTCAGGCAAAAAAGTCATAAACTGAATTGCCAACAGGTTATGGCGACTACGACTTTGTTGTTGCTGCGTTTGCTGTTTGGCTGCAGAGTAGTAAAAGGGCCGTGACAGTGACACTTTGAAGTTTGAGGTTAAATCGAGTTGCCTTGCTTTTGTCCGTTGCTCTTTCGGCTGTGCTGCTCTTTCGATTGAGCCGGTATGCCGTTTACTTAAAAAGCCACTGAGAGACTCGATTGATTCATTAAGAAAAATACAGCTCGTTCGAGTTCGAGGGAGATGAAACTAGTGTCCAAATAATAATGATTTGATTTGAAGTTTAAATTATAAATAAATTTATTATATACCCCAAGCTATATCATAAGTCATACATACTAGTATTGCAGTAGGAATCAGGAATAAGCTCATTATAAGAAAACAAAAAAAGTTCTCAATAGAATATATATATATTGTACATATCTAAAGAAGCGCAGCTAGGGCCGCTACTCTACATTTATACCCGAATAAAATCCGAATATTAGTTCTAAAATTTATATTTTTAGCTATGGGGTATACTGTATATAGTTGTATAGCTATACCTTTACTGTATGTTCAAGGAGTAGTCCTGACATTTAAGTAACCATCATCTAGGTTCCTGTAATATGACTCCTGTACATATTTGTGCTATTTGGGATCTCAGTTTTCAGGGGCTTCCTCTTCTTCCATCGTGTGAAGTTTCCACTGTACTGTTTTTTTTTGCAAATTCCAGTTGCATTCGAATGACTTAAGCCGCAAACTTGCAAGGAAATAACATCGAACCTCACGCATAGAGGAAAATATTTAGACTATTAATTACTTAGTGTTTCTTCAGCACAAATACTAGCACACACTCACCCATACGAGCACGCTTATAAAACTCACATTTGAAAAGTGAAATTTCAAAGTAGAACAACGTACAACAAGCAACAACAACAAAGAAGCACAACAACACGTACAACACACGCCGTGCCACGCAACCAAGAGAGGCCGCGAGAGAGGTTCCAATAAAAATGAGGTCACTTGTCGCTGACCAGCCAGTTCCCCCTGTACCAGGTCCCTCTGCCTCACCACTCGCCCCTTCTCGCCCACAACAACACAACCACTACCCCACTGACCATTGATCGCATAGATCACGCGCCGTCTGTGGCGATACTCTTAAAGAGGGTACAACGATTTTAATCAGATCTTTGCAAATATATCGAAAAATCGAAATCGTTTTCGATCAGCATTAAGAGTTTGCACAGATCCTATTTTATACAGCTGCAAAATGGATTGTTTTCACAGATAGTGTAACAAAATCTACCCAATCGTATCTAAGCCAAAGTTTAACCAAATTTAATGATCATATACGCACAACGGCTTAGAGGAGGGATCGTCCTGCTAGGGTATCAATAGATTCGGCCTCAAAAGCTAACTTTACTTGTTCTTGCCTCTTGTGCATTGTAAATTAATTGCAGTCGCGTCGCGTCGCCTCGTCTTCGTTTTGTTGTTGTTCGGCTTTAACCGTTCTTAACCAGTTTTAGGCCATCCATCGTGTGTGCCATTAAAATGCACCACGAACTTGACAACGCAACGGAAGATATGGTGAAATATCCCCCCGTCGGAGAGAAAGACTTTCGCTATGGGCAAATAAATAAATACGTACAAACATATGCAAATGTCTACGAGTACCCTTGGACAGGCTATGGCTCAAATGGAGATTTTTCATACATTTAAAATAGATAAAAAAAGACAAGAAGCGGAGAGTTCATTTGTTTATACATACATATGTGCTAATAATTAATTTATTTTCTTTGATTTTGGTTTTTTCTAGATCCGAGTACGGAGAGTCTCCGAATTGAAGATGGTCGTAAGTTATTTCTTTGATATGCAAGATCGAAGTTATTGGCAACACTGTACTGTTGTTATGTCGCACACCTTTCAGTGTACTTGTCTTTGATCTTGTTAGCAATGCTTCTTTGCTGGTAATACTTTTAGTAGTACGAGTGTTTTTTGGCTCAGAATCATAATCAAGTTTAATTGCGTATTTCATAAGATTTTCCGTTGTGCACTGTTTGCTTTTGCTGTTAATTAAAGTTGGTAAAAACGAGGAAAAAACAATAATAAAACCAGCACAACACTTAAATATTAATAATTGATTATAATGTTATTACAGACATGATTTATTCTGCTCAGAATCTTGGTCAGCCGATCGGCGATGCGTGAAAACAAAGTCTCAGTGTTTCGCAGTGGCGCTCCGGGGTGGTAAAAACATTGCAAAATGAAAACATTGCAGTTTCGGATATGAATTATAGTTTTAATTGCCGAAAAAGCGAATGCATAAATTATGAATATTGCAACATTTTCGCATTTAACAAGTCCAAGTCCACCTGAAATTCAAGCAGTACCCCGTGTCGTGCTTCCTCGCGCCCTCTACTTCCGGCACGCGATCCATTTCCGTTCTGTTTTGTGGCTCTAGCTCTACCTATACCTATACCTCTACCGCTCCACCTCCCATCTTCTGCTTGACTGTGCATCAATCAAAGTCTCAATCAAGAGCAAAAGTAATCAAAACTGCAGCACCAAAGGGGAAGACGGAGAAATACAGACACAAAGCAAACATGGAGACAAAACAAAATCGTTAACTTGAAACTGACAATACAGTGGACGTTTGATACCTAGAAACAAAGGGTCTAATCTAGGAATATTACCTATAAATGGGAAAATTCCCAAGGAAGATTTTGACTTCGTGAAATATTTGTTAATTGGGATATCTGAGTATTTGATTTTAAAATATTTGTATCTGTTTTGAAACCAATATTTCCATTTACAGAGTCTACAATGATGTTGCAGTGGTGCTTCTGATGGAAAAGGTATGCCAATTATTGATCGTTCACTGTACCTGTATGTAAAAATATATGCATGAATAAAGGTACATATGGACATCTGTTTGTATACATCCACCATGTACATATGTACATATGTATGTGCATAGGTACAAAAATGGCATAGTATAAGCAGCAACAAAACAACATTAGCAACAACAGCATCGGCAGCGGCAGCAGTAGCAGCAGTAGCAGCAGTGACAGTGCCACAAAAAATAGACAAACAACAAACAGTACATACACACAGACAAACAGATACAAAATAGAAATGGAGAGCAACTTTCACCCAAGGTCATTGTGTCTTTAACTGCGCCACACAGCCTAGGCAGCCTCAGCAGCAGCAACAACAACAGCTGCTGGACAATATGAATATGCGACGAAGACCCACGACCGACCGACCGCCGCCGACCGACGCCCGATTTGCTATTTTGAACGAAAACAACTAAAAGAGTGACTTGCCCAGGGTATGTGTGAAAATGAGGTGAGGCATCGGGTTAGGTCCCGATCTCCGTATGTGATCATCCTCTCTCAGTCTCAGGCTCACAGACTACAAGTTGCTACCCCTCCTATAAAACCTACATTGGACTATCCTGTCTGTCTGTCTGTCAGAAAGAGGAGAGAATGGGAGTAGGAGGAGCCAGCGGGTGAGCCACTGCATGTGCCAAAAATAAACCAAAGCAAATGGTAAACACTGCAACGGCTGCTCACGAAGTGGGGGAATGGCGGAGAGGCGAAAAAGCATAGCCTCGACTGGACGAGGCCGCCTGGAAAGGTCGAGAGCAAGCTTTTACCACTAGATGAGTCATGTACATAGGATTCAGGGAAAAGAAGAAGTGACGAAGAAGGAGACAAAGCAAATGGGAGATGCACTCTTGGATACCCTTTTGGGATGGTGAGTATGGGAAATAAAATGGTGCAGTATACGAATATACTTACAGTAGTCTTGGAGAAGCTCTCCTGCTGATATTGGTTTTTGTCGATTGATTTGTTTATACCTACCTAATTGAATGAATTAAATTATATTTCATAATTAAATTAAATTCCCATTAAGTTCTCTGTAACCAAACTTTGGAGCATCTTTCCCACTCTCTGTCTTTGTCAGAGCCCATTCTATGGTAACTACTGAGAGTCTTAAATGACTGTTTAGGCATTTCAATCCTATAGGATTCCCCCATCTGCCGTGTTATCTACTTGGTCTGCACGATCTGGGTCAGGCTTGGGCACAGTGTTAGCTGCCTGCAATTAAGTGGCCAAAAAATAAAAGATGAATGAGTGGAAAATAACTTTTAATTGACATAAACTTTAATTAGAAATAGACAAGAGAAGAAAAGAAAACAGATAAAAGAGATTCCACAGAAATGAGCTTCGAGGGGGATGGGGATGGGGTTGGAGGAGATCTTCCGTTTCTAATGCATTTCCAATTACATCATTAAGTTCTCTTTTGCCAAAATCTCGAAATTTTTGATACTTCGGTCGTTGAGTACAACAAAAGCTTAACCCATGACAGCGCGACAGCCGCAACACGTAGCACAGTTTGATTAGAACAAAACGAAGCGACAGAGAAAGACATGGATGCGGTAGAAACAGGGACAGGGAGAGGGAGATGGGGAGGGGTACGGTACCAGTACCATCAGAGACATTGCCATGATGTTGCATAAATTTAAGTGCCACAGATACAAGGCGCAAGATACAGAAACGAGTTACAGATACATCAAGAAGCAGGAGAAGCAGCAACCAGCAAGCAGCACCACCACGACCACCAGATGAAGAGACTCTGCAGCATAGAAATGCGGATGCGAGACCCGACTCAACCCGACTCGCCTGAAGTCGAGACTCCACTTCAGATACACACACACACATATGCACTCCTATATTCCGTCGTAGCCATGGCTGCAGAGGAGGCAGTATATCGTTGTCTACCTCCAGACTTGCTGCGGTGAAAGAGCAAAGTATCTTTGTATCTGTTTGCCGTTGGGTTGGCTGCTGCTGCTTCGAGTTAACATTTCAAATCCGCTGCGGTTCTGCTGTGGCAAACGAGAAACGAGTCTTGGAAATTGGGTCAGTGGCACAGTATGTATGGCATTCTCTGTCTCCGTCTCCGACTCCGTCTCCGACTTTGTATATATGTATCTCATACCACTGTGTGGGCTTCTCCCTCTTTCTTTGACTCTTTCTTCCACTGGCTTTCTTTGTGGTCAATATAATGATTCTACCCGACTTGTCGGTTTGGTTTGGTTTGGTTTGGTTTCTGCTCGGTTTCTTGGTTTCTGTTCGGTTCGGTTCGGTCAGGTTTCGGTTTGGGCTCTGTCTTGGGGTCTGTTGCTACTCCATTTTGTGGCCGAACGTGCCTCAGCGCGACGCAGTCAGGTTGCTAATGGGATCCGGTCCGTGTGGGGCATATGCAATGCGGCGACACCCAAAAGTCATTTCTTAGGTTCCAAAAATCGCATTCGAAAACCAAATTCTTAAGACGATTTCCATTCATTACGCATACGCCTGGAGGTCCCATAGGCCCAAGAATCCCAAAAATAGAACGAAACAAAACTCTAAAAATAAAATAGACATTTTCCAAATTGTAAGCTTAATTTGTTTTCTGCACATTTTGAATGACATTCGAATTTATTTAAATAGAATTAATTAAATATTAGGCATTAAAATTACGAAATAAATATTTACAAATCGAAATGTGTTGAACAAAATAAATAAAATTGCACGTTAACTAAAATAACACAATTGATATTGTTTTTTGCTTTTTTCCATAGAATTAACATCCATTAAAATTACATTAATTTATGTTTAAAATGTAATTTACTGTTTGCTTGAGTGTGTGTTCCAAAATAGTTAATTAATCATAAATAATTTCATGCATATCGAACATAATTTAAGGTTTACGGTTAAGATTAACTTTAAAACTTTAGCAACAAACTTTTTTTAAAAAACAAATTAACAACGCTTTAAGATATTAGCTAAATTAAATCGTATTCGTATTTATTACTTGAGTACATTGCTAAACAACTCTCCGTACTTCTCTTTCCACATTTAAGATTTTTGTGCAAATTGATTATTAAGAATAATATTTTGCCAAGCCCGCTACTGAATCTTACCATAAAATGTATGTTTATAAATAATGCTCTTTAATTGGTTTGTACAGAAACTATAACATAATTGTAATTTAAAATTGTATTGCTCTTCCTTGATTAATTTTAGTTAAACCTTTAATTTGTATGCTTCTTCAACATGATGAGGTACAGACAACATTTCAGAACTTTATACAACTGGGACTTCCGCTCCCATCTCTTAGTTGGTATTATTGTCTAGATTTTGATTTCTATATATATATATATATAAATATATGTGTATGTATGTATGTATGTTTTACCTGTGCCAGGACCTTGGTCGCTAGAAGTACGCTTATTTGCATCAAAACAGAACAACAGTTGCAGAAAGACAATTGGACGCTTCGTTGTTCTTACATTGCTTGTGGTCTCTTTGGCCTATCGTCAGCTCTATCTTAGGGATATCGTTTGTGGGAAATAGTATCTCCATTTGCCTGCTTGGAGGTAGTAGGTTGATTTTGTTTGCTAGCCTGACAATGTACACATAGCCTTTTAAAGTTCTTGATTTGGTTTGCAACTAATGCCTGAAATATCTATGGAACAGAACTCACGGAAACTCTCGGTTCTCAAATCCTTCAAATAATAATCTTTTCTAATAAAGACCTCTCAAAATAGACAGCACTCACTTAAAGTACACTTTCAAGTTACTTTCAATGTTGAATATGTAGAGTTTTTCTTTCTTTAAAACTGAAATGTACTGCAGATTGTTCTTTAGTTTTGTTCATCAATCGAATCCTGATAATTTCCACTATGTACGAGTATGTAACTACGATTTAGCTATAGAGATCAAAAGCAACCAACAACAACGAATATCAAAAAGTGTGTGTATGAGATTGCTCGACCTGTGTGGGATAGTGGCGGAGTGCCTGTGCCACTCCGGCCAGTGTCCCGGCCAAGCAATGACGCACACGCACACAGAAGCAGGGAGAAGCCTTTGGCCAGGAGAAGCAGTCACCGATCAAGCAATCCAGATCCCGAGAAGAAGAACCCGTATTGCTGGTGATGCGATGACTAGACATGACCTTGGAGTGGGGCCCTCCCCGCCTCTGGGGTCAGATGCAGACACTCAGAGCGTGCTCTCTGCCTCTTGTTGGTCCAGCGAATCAAGAATCAAGAAATTTGTCGAGGAGCCTGCCGCCGCCTCGGTCAGTCACGCCCAATTCTCTTATGTATCTGTTGATGTTTGAGCAAGTGCGCCTTCTGGCGGAAGGCCTTGGCGCAGACATCGCACCGGAAGGGCTTCTCGCCGGTGTGGGTGCGCAGATGCACCTTGATGTTGGACTTGTTGAGGAATCCCCGATTGCAGATGCTGCACCGGTGCACGGGCTTCTCCTTCCCCAGCAGTCCACTCAAGTCGCTGGCACTGAAGCTGCCCACGCTCGAGGGCGAAATGGCGCTCATCTGGGGCGTGGACGGGCCATTTCCACTATCTCCCTGCTGCTGCTGCTGCTGTTGTTGCTGTTGCTGTTGGTGCTGTTGGCTGGACTTCTTTTGGGCCCGCGATCGCTTGGCCTTGGGGGTGCCCGTCCGCAGCTCGGAGCCCGTCGTGGTGGCCGTCGTCGTGTGCGGATAGTTGCCCAGCATGTCCGGGGAGCAGAGTCCTCCGTCCTTCATCGAGTTTGGGCCATTGAGGGGTCCCATGCCAGAGCCGGAGAGCTGGTAGGCGGCCTGCTGCTGCTGGTGGGAATTGGATCCGTTCGGATTCGACTGGGATTGGTTGGACAGGTAGCGGGGATTGATCATCAGGCTGTTGTCCGTGGTGCTGACCACGGAGCCCGGCGGACTGCAGCTGCTGCTCGTTGCCGCCGACAGTTCATTGCAGTATGAGGTAGATGTGGGCGCCTCCCCCTTGGATGTCCCTGTCGTGGTCGCCGAGGATGAGTTGTTGCTGTTGTTGTTGTGAGAGTGATTATTGTTGTTGTTGTGGGAGTGATTATTGTTGTTGTTTCCAGAGCCAGGGGGACCGTGCTGGAGGCGGTTCTGCAGGAGCGGCATGTAGCCATGGCTGAGCAGACTCTGCAGCGTAGAGCTGCTGGCGTGCATGGGCAGTGGCGAGTGGGGCAGCATGAAGTCGCCCAGCGAGTCCTGCTGCGAGACGAGCACCTTGCCCTCCTGCTGGATGCAGTTGCCGTCGATCCAGGCGTCGAGATCCATCCAGCTGTCCCGCGTGTCGTTGCCCTCGTCCTTGTCCAGCTGATTGGGCACCGTCGTGTCCGCAATGGCCGATCCAATGATGGCCGCAATATCGTCGATGGAGTTCATGTCCACGTATTCCGTCAGGTCCTTGTAGATGCGCACCCCGCTGCCATGCAGCGAGTCGGCCACCTGGTCGATCGGCGTCAATGTGGCTATGCTCGGGCCGTTCCCCTGTCCCCCGCCGCCCGATCCCGCTCCACCTGGTCCTCCGCCGCCGGGCCCGCTCATCACACAGCTGTCGGCGACGGAGTAAAGCTTAGAATCTAGTTGACTATCGGCAAAGAGCTTGACATCGGCCAGGCAGGCGTCCGCACAGGGATCCCCGCTCAGTACGCTCTCGGGCAGGCAGGTGGAGGAGGAGACTATGTTGTGCTCGTTGGAGGAGTTGCTGCTCCCGCCGCCACTCCCCCCACCGCCACCGCCACCGCCGTTGGGCCCGCTCTGGGCCGTCGTCGATGTGGGATTGGCATTGGGGTTGGCCTGGTAGGCGCTCTGTATGTAGTTGTTGTTGCTCTCGTCCGGCAGCCGCTGGGCAATGGCATGGTAGTGGTGGCCCGAGATGCCATTGATGGACAGGTGGCCCGTGTAGCCGGTGAAGGGGGGCAGCGGCTTCAGGTCGGACAGCCCATTCAATGAGGAGCCATTGAGCAGCAGATTGTCCAGCACGTCCAGCGAGTTCTTCTGATCCGCATCGCTAGGCAGGGAGTCCAGGTCGTGCTCGAGCAGCAGCTTGTGGCCATCCAGCAGATACTGGTCCTGGCCGCTGTTCTGTGGCGGTCCCCAGCAGGGACTCATCAAGAGGCTTTCAACTTCCGATTCACTTGGGCCGTTCATGCTGCAAAACTTCATTGTCAGTTGACCCAGGCGATCGATACGAATCTTCTGCCGATCCTTGGAATAGCACGTTTCAAACAATCCAATGACCAAGCTTCAACTGCAAATATAAAACAGAAGCACATATCGCATTTAGTCATGGTGCAAATCTCAAGTTATTTATCAACAAAATGTGTTAGTTTGGAGATGCATATCTAGTATTAAGAGATGACTATTGTAACAGGTAGTTCTTTGCATTCCTCTAAATGATATTCTCTAGGTTACATTAGATCACAGAGAATCCCCACTGATAGGTTAAGTCCCATTCATATTTCATTCCTAATAGTGTAATGGATTATCTTTGATCTTCCCATAGACACAGCCTGGATTCCCATTGAGCTTACAAGAAATGCTTCCGCCATGGAGGAATCTTTCTCCGTCGCCTGCCTAATGATCTCTCCCCAATCTCCCCAATCCCGGCACTTGCTGACAGACAACCTGCAGCAACATCGATCCCCACACACTGATAGGTCCCCACTAATGATTCTTTAATATGAAAATATTAAACAAAAATCGAAGAACGTCGGTCCGCCTGTTGACCAAAAATAGGGTTCCACGGGGCTTTCATTCCTCCGGCCCCTGTCCCTGTCCGGCATCAGAGGGGCACGGAGACGGAGCCGAACAGATAGATTAAGTTAAGACATTCGATAAGCTATAATATCCATAAACAAGAAGAAAGAGAGGAAGATACGGATGCACACGAAAATGAAGAAGAAATGACAAAACGAAGAAAACTAAAACCGATACCAGAATCGGCCAATAATAATTTCCAAATGGAATTTGGGTCAAAACATTAATAATCAGTTAAATTAGCATATAAATTGGTCAGAAAGAGAGAGAGACAGAGCGAGAGAGAGAGAACGCATTTGGCTACGAATGTGTTATCGTATTCGATTATTTGTATTTCGATGGGGCACCACGCTTGATTGGGGCAAGTGGAAGTTCTCCCAAGAGTCAGAGCCAGAGCCACAGCAACATCATATAAAAGACCCGACAATGAAAGTACAGGTGTGGATCCCAAAAAAAGAGTCAGAGAAGGAGGGGTGGGGTGGGGAGGGAAGGTGAGGAGGAGCTGGAGGAGGCAGCCCACACCAACAACAATTATAGAAGTTCATTTGGAAGCACAAAACGAAAAGAAACGAAACGGGGAATGAAAGAAACGGTAAAGCAAGCTGGCCTGGCTCTGTTCTCTCTGTCTCTCTTTTGGTGCATTAACAGTTAACTTGATTTTGAGGCTTGGCCTGTCGTACGCTCGCTCGTTTGTGCACGTGTGTGTGTGTGTGTGTGTGTGCCAGTGTATGGGTGCCCCAAAGAAGAAGCCGCAATCAAAAGCTAGACATTGTCCAGCTTTGGGCGAAAGAGAAAATTTCGCTTTCAACAGGTTGTTGCCGTAGCAACATTACATTTCTAGCTCCAGCAACATGTTGCCAGAGCTAGGCTTAGTATGCGGAAAGAAGCAGCGCCATCGAAGCAGCGCAGCAGCGCAGTCGGCTAAGCATGCGCAGCTAAGCGTGGCAGCAAGCAGCAAGCAGTGGAAAAACAACCGTTAACCGAGAGACAGAGCGAGAGAGAGAGAGAGAGACGACCTGCTGACATACTTCCGTGATACGAGGCAGGCCCGGCTTTAATGCTCTCTCTCTCTGTCTCTCTTGTCTTGCTCTCTGAGCTGCCGTTTGTTTCATTGTGTGTAATTGCTGGCTTCTCGGATGCTCATGCTCGCGCTCACGTCTCTTGCTTTTGCTCATTGCTTGGCACAGTTTCATGGTTTTCAAAGGGTATTGCAGAGGGTACTATATGTCGGGGAAGATATTAACGATATAGACATTGAGATATCGATTGATTCTAAAGGGTTTGCTTTAAGAAAACTACTTTAATAAACCAAGCCCTTGCTCCTAAATGCTGCCATTTGCGTAGAGATTTATGCTTCGGCTGGAAAAAAAGTCCGAGAATGCAAAAACAAAATACTCAATGTATTGCTTATAAGAGTGTTGTTTCTCTGTTTTTGTCCCTCAAAAGCGTGCGTATGTATGTAAATCAGGGCTCTGTGGTGCCAGCCACCGCTATACATGTGTACGTGAGCGGCAGTGCACTTTCCGCTGATGTAAATAATCGAACTGTTAGGGTATCCAAAGCATCGCCTCGAAGCTATTCAATCTTTCTTGTTGTTTCGCTTCTCTTTTCGATTTAATGAATTTTAAAATTCTGCCCGTCGCTTTGGAGGCGCCTGATGTCTGAGTGACGTTTTGATGCTGTCTTTAGAGCACTCCATTCCTCTACGGAGAATCGGAATTGGCGTGAAATATTTTATGGAAAACAAAAAAAAAACGCTCCGCTCTTTCATTCCATTCCATTCCTTTCCGAGTCTGAACTCCCTCCCATTCCGAACTCCCATTCCGACTCTGGTTCTGATTCTGATTCCGATTCTGATTCTTCTATTGTTATGGTTTGACTGCGCGTCAGATTTTACACATTTCTGTTTGCTGTGTTGCTGTTTTATTGTTTGGCGGCTGCTACATGAGCATTTTGGTTTTAATGAGCCACATTGTAACGGTGGTCCGTTGGCCCGTTTGCATTTGAATGCCCCACAGCGGACACGGAGACGGAGATGGAGACGGACACCGACACCGACACCGACACCGGCGCGGACGCGGACGCGGACACCCACTCACACTCGCACAAATTGCGGGGGCGCGCCACACAATCACAATGGGCCTCTATTGTGAGCCGAGATTGTAAATGGTAAATGGTCAAGAGATTCCACGGACAATGTCAGCGGACAGCAGCTCGATCGGCTGTGGGGCCATTATAATTACTTCTATGCCCCACTCAGACTCTGTCCCACTATGAACGCTTTTAACGGTGTTTCCAAACGAATTAGTGCGAATTTTTGACAGTCGACTGATTTTATGACCGTCCTCCACCCTCCGAGTTTGTTGAGCTCTTTTTATGACTTTTAAGGGGGTAATATATTGGATAGGGATAGGTGAATATGCATATTCATGTGCATATGATATTGAAATGTAAGAAAATACCTGATTCCACGAGACATTCAAAGTCTTAGTATGCTCCTAACGTGGACTTCCGTCCACAATGATATCTTTAGAAATGTTGTAAAAGATTGTTGAGTATTTGTTACAAAGTTGTAGAGATGTGTTGAGAAGAGTATTATCTAGAAAATTGGAAGGTCAAGATCAACTCAGTTGTCCTTCGAGGAAGTTCTAAAGGAGGATGTTCTCTGAGATAGAGCTAGTGGCGAAGAAAGAGAAAGAGATATGTTAAGCTACTCTGTGTGTGTTTAAGAGAGAGCGAGAGAGACAGTGCGCGGGACAGAGAAGAGCCAGGAGAACCATCCTGAAAAGGTGGTCTAATTGATCCGTTTGGATTGAAAAATGGAGCCCATATATTACTAGTTGATATTATAACATGGATAAAAATGTTTTGTAATCATCTTAAACCGATTTTCCTCTTTCTATTAAGGTATATCCAGTGCATAGAAGCCCCCTATCACCATTTCTTACAAAGTACATCTAACCAAAAAAGAAACCCGATAACAATTCCACAAGCATACCTTTCTTTAGCCATAAAAACATTCTGTTCCCTACCAGAAATCTTGTGAAAATGGCCCAAACAATGGCCCCGCTCTTGTAACGATCCGAGAGGGTCACAACTTGGCGAAGACAACAAAAATAACTTATTTAACAATCTAACAGGCAACTAAACGTCTGACCCGAGCAATTGACCAACGAAATGAACTCTAAACTACATCAGCATCGTCATGAGCGGCAACAATGGCTACAACAACACACCAGCTGTTTGTGGAAATTGAGTTCTTAACTTGGCCGAGAAGAGAGAACGAAAAGCCCAGTTCAAACGCGAACGCGAACTCGAACGGAAATTGAGCTTAACCTTTGGCGGCAATCAACTTCCGTTTAAATGTTCGAACACGATGCAGCGTCAAAGGTCAAAACGTTTTGGCCAAAGTCAAGCTGCAAACACTTTCCTGCTCCTCCCCCATGCACCATCCTCCTTTAAAGCACCTCCTCTCAGCGGAGAAGAGCTCAGGTCTCAGAGCAGACCCAAAATGAAAAGAAAAATCAGGTCGAGACATTGGCGGCGGTGTTGAGGTGACGAGGAGGCAGAGAGGATGGCTGGAAAAAGCGAATGAAAAATTATTTGATTGCAAAATTTACAACCGCAATGATTTCCACTTGGACGAGGAAAAACCGCACGTAGCAGCAGCATCCACAAGGCTGTGAAACAGCAACGGCAACAGCAACAACAAAACTTTGACCAAGACCGAGAAGCCGAAAAAAGCCTCGGAAACGTGTGGCTTGCATTGAGGTCGCCATCAGTCATTGAAGGTTTTTGCTGCGATGCTGCGTCTCCGCCACTGCCACTATTCCCCGTGCCCCACTCAGTTGTGGATGCAACAAATTGCTGGCAATGAAAAGAACGAGACAAGAAGTGGCAAGACTGGAGATCGGTTGTCCACCGATTGCATGAATACTCTTTCGATGGGGCTCTATAAAGATCTGCTATAAAGGTTGGGAATAGGGGAAATCCATTCTATGGACGTCTACCTAAGGCTAAGTATTTCTTATGAACGTTTTGAAATGTAATATACTCTTGCGTGAAGCAGGGTATACTCCACTCCTACTTCTTTTACCGAGAAAAGCACAGAGAGTGGCTTAAACTGGAAACTGAAAACTGGGAAACGTGCTTGGGGTTCCAGTTCTTCATCTCCTTGGCAGCTGCGCACTTGACCGCACATGTGGCACGTGTGGAGCTGTGTGTGAATTGTTGCATAGACTTCTTCTGCTCACCTCCTGAATGACTAACTAACCCAGAGACAGAGCCGGAGCTGGAGCCAGAGCCAAGCCCATCTGTAGACCGCAGCCCCATGCTCTAGACGCCATCAGAATCTTGTTTTCTCTGGGGCTCGTGTGGGGATGTGTGTGCCTCAGGAATGGTCAAAA